CCCCCCTCCCACCTCTCGACGCCCCGTCCCCTCTTTCACTCCACCTCCCCCTTGCTGACTGTGTCGCCTGGCTCGTTGACTCGCTTGCCGCTTACTGCACCCAGCAGACTCGCTCCGTACTCACGCGCAATCTTCAACCTGATATCGTCCTCGTTCATCATCGACATGTGCATGTACCACATGCGGGCGTCTGGCCAGAGGCTGCGGAAAAAGTTGAGGCTCTGGATCGCCATCGCAGCGTTGGTCTCGCGGTCCGCGAGCGGGAGGTCGTCGTGCGACTTGCCCTCCAGCATATCCCGGATGAACCAGTACTGCCGTCAGTCTTGTCCCCAGCTGGCGAGCGTGGACTGCGACGCAACGTCCACGGCATGCGGCATACTCACGCGATAGTCCCACGCGCCCGAGTTGAGCTGCACAAAGTCGGGTGTGAAGCCCTTGAGCGTCGTGTTCCACCAGCGCGTGACGCGGCTCTGCAGGTCCCAGTCTGCGCCGATGTACGTCTTGTCCAGCACGGCATTGACGGCGGGGTCGGACGTGTTCGCCATGCCGTAGATGTGAATCATGGCGATCTTGAGGCCCAAATCATGCTGGACGCACGTGCTCGTCCACCCGTAATGCGTCTTCCAGCCGGGCACGTCTTCGTTGACGATGGGCGCTTGGAAGTAGTCGCCGCACAGCGTCTCGAAGAGGTGCCGGCCAACGCTGTCGCCGGCCAGCAGCACGCTCTTGTTCCGGAACTCGGGGAACGTCCACCACAGCTGGTCGCGCGGCGTGCCGCGCAGCGCGTTGTAGAACTCGTCGCCGGGGCACTGCGGGTTTTCCGTCACCCAGTGGAAGTCGCCGGGGTGGGGGTATCCCGGCTGCTCGTTGCTGGTGTAAGCCCGGTGCGAGGAGCGATGTGCGCGACGGTACTCGAGACTTGGACTCACGGATCACAGGGGATATCGAGCGGCGGCGCGAACCACTGCGCGTGCTTGTCCGTCACGTACGACGCCACGCTCTGCCGGCTCCCCGGGTGCAGGTAGATGCCGAGGGGGCCGATGAGGAGAAACGCGACGACGGCGCAGAGCACGAGGAGCGGCCGCGAGCGGGGGTCGCGGCTCAGCATTGTGGAGGTGATGGTGAGAGATTTAGTGAACTGGTTCGTGTCAGCAGGCTTGGCGGTCGTCCGGTGTGCCATGTGCCAGTAGAGGGAGATCGTCAGTGGGGTGAGCTGCAGGAGCACTTGACGACCCTTCATACGAGCCGCGGCCGCAGAAGGCGCGGCGGAGCATCGACGCTTGCTGGTAAATAGAACCTGCAGGAGCTGCAGGGAGTCTATGAGGCTACATGCTCGAGCGAGCGGAGTGGAAGAGGCGGAGGGCGACGCTAACGAGAGACAGAGAATTGACGGGACGCCGAACAACGTTATTCATGTTTCAATTTAGTCCAGTCACCCTGGTATTTCCCTGATTTAACGTAAATGCTGCTTCGCTTCTGGCTCTGTGCACTGGAGTGTACGTCGTCCATCGGGAAGAGCCCACGTGGATTGCTCTCGGTTGAACGCATGAAACTGATGGTGGACCGCTCGGACAGGTGACAGGCAGAACGGGGACCTCCCAAAGACTGAAACTGGCATGTGAGACAGCTCAGAGGCAGTGGCGGAGATGACTCGAGCTGACCGATACTCACCCTGACATGCTGATAGCGATAATGAGCAAATGCGAGGAATGGTGGCGCTCAAGGCCATCTGTATATATCTGTATCAAACAAAGATGGCATACACTACAAATCTGTCTCGACCCCACACTGCGAGCCGCCGCTCGCCCAGCCCCAAGTCCTTGTTGTTTTCCCCCGTTGTCTTTGCTCGGCATAGCCCACGCTACTTCTCCTCCATGCGTTGTGCGGTGTTGATGACCGCATGTTGCTGCCACGGTGCATCCACCTACGCCTGGGCGACACGGTGTGCACGCTCCTCGCGGAGACGACGCTTGGCCTCGCGGGTGAGCTCCTTACTCTTACGCACAGGGTTCTTGGCACCGAACACGTCGTCCATCTCCTCAAGCGAGAGCTGCTTGGTCTCAACAACCCAGAGGTAGATGACGACGCAGCCAACAATGTCCCAGGCCATGAACACGAGGTAGAGCTTCCAGTTGATGGCCTCGAGCGCCGAGGGAATACCAAAGGTGTTGATGAGAGAGAAGACGTTGGCAAACCACGACTGCAGCGCCAGGCCCTTGGCGCGCACCTCGTACGCGAGAACTTCGGTCGGGTAGAGGCCCTGCAGCGGCGTCCAGCCGAAGGAGAAGAAGACGCTCCACAGCATGATAAAGGTGATACCGGCATTGGCGCGGATAGGAGGCGGGGGGTCGAGGACGGTGCCGTCCTTGGCGATCTTGTGTGGCACGAGGCCTGTGACAATGGCGAAACACAGCACCGCCCAGATCTCAGCGCCGAGCATGAGCGGCCGGCGGCCGATGTGGTCAATGACGGCGGCACCAGTCATAGCGCCGGCCATGTTGACGATAGAGGAGGCAAAGTTGAGCACGCGCTGACGGTCGGTCGACGTGATACCAGCCTGCTTGAGGAGCGTGGGGAGGAAGTACGAGACCATGCCGTTGCCACTGAGCTGACCCCAGCACGCGACAATAATGCACATGCCGAAACGGTAGCGGTCGGCGGCGGTAGTGAAGATCGGGCGGAAGTCCCACCACCGCTTGTCGGCGCCCTCGAGCGAGATGCTCTCCTCAAACTCGGCGAGCTGCAGCTGGACCAGAGGGGACTGAACGTCGTTGTCACGCGAGTGGAGCTTGGCGAGAATGAGCGCCGCCTCCTCCTTCTTTCCACGCGAGTATAGCCAGCGCGGGGACTCGGGGCACAGCATGATGAAGAAGAAGTTGATGAGCGCGAGCATCATCTGCAGGAGGAAGGGAACGCGCCAGCTCCAGTTGTTACCGAGGGCGAGACGGCCGAAAGGAATGGCCACGCCCGAGGCAAGAATGTTGCCGACGTACCAGAACGAGTTCTGGACACCAAGCGCGAAGCCACGATTCCAGGGAGACGAAATCTCAGCGAGGTATGCCTTGGCCGCAGTGCCGCCCATCGTTGAGCCGAGACCGACGAGGAAGCGACCGGCGAGGAGCATGCCCATGTTCGACGCGAAGCCATTGACGAGCGAACCGATGATGATGAGCAGGTCGGCGATGAACTGAGCCCAGCGCCGGCCAAACTTGTCGGGGATGATGATACCAGGGAAGAAGCCGACAACCGAACCGACAGTGTAGATACCCTGCGGTTAGTTTGTGCCACAGCGATGTCCATAACAATGTTGTTGGGGGCCCATGACTCTTCCGTACTCACGAAAACAAGACCTTGGCCAGATGCACCGCCGACGCCAAGGTTGAAGTACTCTTGGAACTGGGTCATGGAGTTGACCGAACTGATAATGGTGCCGTCAAATCCAACGTCGCCCGAAACCGAACAGGCGACGAACGCGATGAAGAGGTAGCGGAAGGATGCGAGGCTTGCCCATCCCGGGCCCGGGTCGGCGGCGCGCGCCATGCGCAGGGCATAGGCCCGCTCGTCGCCCACGTCCACCGCCGTGTGCTCATCGTGCTTGGTGTCCTCCTTGGAGTTGTGTTGCTCGAGGGACATTATGTCTTGTCGTGCGAGTGAGTGTGGGGCGCTGCGGGGCCGTGCGAGCTATATATCATGTTGGAACTCTGCCCATAGCATCTGGCGATCAGCGACCATAGTGCCGCCGTCAGCCAACGCCGCGAGCCCGCGAGACCTCGAGCTCACAAGCCCGAGTTAGTTTGACCCTGGGTTATCAACAAACCGGCGATTTCGCCGTCAAAGCTGATTTCCGGCATCGACATGCCGGAGTACCTTCCCGCCGGGCTAGTGTGCCCCGATTACCCTCCGACCAAGCGCAGATGAAGTGAGTTACGGTGAATAGCACATGTGCAAAGTGCGTGCCTGTCGGCACCCGCCACTGCGAACGCTGACTGCTCAGCTCTAGCAACTTTGAGTAGAATCAGCAAACAGTGCGGCGAGGTAGACAGCGATGGAGAGCGGGGATGGGGACGAACATCTCGGGCATGCAAAGATACTCGGCGCACTCGGCGACTGCGACGGCTTGTGCGGCGCGCAGGCGAGCAAATATAAGAAGGCGATGAGCAACGCATCGATTCTTCCCGTTCGCACTTGTGATTCTTCCCGTTCGGTGGCGCGGATCGTTGGCGTTCCGGTCAAGATTCCCGTTCGACGGCGCGAGGCGTTGGACATTGCACGGCACGTGGACCAAACGAACGGGAATATTACTTCGGTGAAACGGCGACGGGACGGGGCGACGGTCATGCCCGCTCTGCTGCGATTGCGCCATTGCGGGGCACGTGGGGCCAGGTGTCGACCGAGGTGCATCTGTCGGATTGAAAGTGTACCATGCGGTGACCCGAGTGGGGTCTCCGGGCTTCGGAACCAACAGAGGGCTGGGTCAGAGGGCCAGCGCTCGTGTGCTAGGTTGGTGTATTGATTGTCTCGGCCTGGACGGCTGGAGCTAGGGTATGACATGCCCCGCAGAGGACGTGCGGGGCAGAGCAACAGAGTCTTTGGGTGGACATCAGTGGCAGGGAGATGAGAGTGAATGTAGTGATCGACAACCTAGCCCGGCGTCTCGGCACGTTCAGCTGATGTGAGAACCCGAGCGGTTGGGTGGTGGGACGCGGACCGTCGGAAACTGGCTCACTGGCCAGCCGTCTATATCCGCCCTTCTGTCGTCAGTTGACCTAAACACAATGTCATCTCGACCTGCAGCGTCACGTAGTGAGTGCTGCTTGTTGTGAGTGAGTGAGCAGCAGTGGGCGATGGGCGACGCGTGTATGGTAGCGACACAGCACAAGCACACAAGTCTCGCCTTCGATCTCTTTCTCATGACGGAGCGGACCTCCGCCTCCACCTCCGCCTGGTGCGCTTCAGCTCAGCGCCCTCTGACGTCGCGGCATGCCACAACTTATAACTCTCTCACCGCTCACATCTGACTCAACTCACAAACTCTTCTCGTCCGACCTCCCGACATGGCCTCCTATGCGAACGAGCTGCGCGCCGCGCACGAGCAGACTTGGAAGGCGGCCACGACGCACCGGTTCGTGCGCGAGCTGTGGGCCGATACCCTCCCTGCCTCCGTCATGCACCGCTACCTCTCGCAGGACTACCTGTTCTGCGACACGTTCGTCGCGCTCATGGGCTCGGCCGTGAGTAACTCGGACAACCCCGGTGTGCGCCTCTCCGTCGCGCGCCAGCTCGGATTCGTGGCCGGGGACGAGGACGACTTCTTCCGGCGTGCCCTCTCTTCTCTTGACCACTCTTTCAAACCCACCACATCCATCTCGGTCGCCCCCCACGCACTCGAAGTGCCCTCGGGCCATCACGCATACTCGCCGCTCCCGGTCACGGCGGGCCTCCTCGCGGTTATGGATGAGGCGCGCGCCTCGTACGCTGCGGCCATCACTGTCCTCCTCGTTGCCGAGTGGGTGTACCTCGACTGGGCGACATCACACCCCGCGTCCATGATGCCCAAAGAGTGGACCAATGCGAAGTGGATCGAGCTGCACAGCGGCCCTGCTTTTGAGGCGTGGGTCGAGTTGCTGCGCAACGAGTTCGATCGCGTCGCGGTCCAGGGCGGTAACAAAGTCAAGGTTGAGATGGAGACGTTTTTCGCGCGCACCATCAAGCTCGAGCTCGAGTTCTTCAATGCTGCATACGAGAAGTAGAGCCCATATCTGTGGCAGAAGCGTGTGACACATCAGACCTCAAGGTCAGACGCAAGCGAGCGGAGTCCTAGCAGGGCAGTCCTGTCGATGCATACAGTATGTACGTGTACAACCTCTCAGCGTGCGCCTCCTCACGCCCTCACCTTAACTGCGGGGAGTCCCACTACGACATCCGCGGCGATATCTTCCTTGGCGCCCACCTCGACACCCGTTGCCGGCTGGTGTCAGCCGGCCCACCTTACGACCCACCTTGAGCGCCGGCAAGATCATGAGCACGACATCGATGTGCTGATGGGGACTCCACGGTGCACGCTGCTCGCCGATCACAACCCACCCGCGGCGCTTGTAGAACTCTACAACATGCACGTTCTCCTTGATGCAGTCGAGGACGGGAAGCAGCCCGCGCGCGACAACATCCTCCGTCGCGGCCGCAAGGAGCGCAGACCCAATGCCCGAGCGCGCATACTCGGCGTCGGCGAACAGCGTGCCGACGCACCGCAAGCGTTCCATCGGGCAGCCGTACGCGGCGGCCCAGGCCGCGCCGAGTCCTGCCGTGCTCCCGCTGCGCCCTGGTGCGCCGCGGCCCTCGGTCGCCTCCACCACCTCTGCTGTTGCGATGTGGCCCACAATCATGCCGTCCAGCAGCGCGACCCACGCGCCGTCTTCATGGTCCCGCTGCAAAAAGTCGGGGAGCGGCATCGGTAGCGGCCACAGCTCCGGGTAGCCCGACGCCGGGCGCTGCTTGACTAGCAGGTCGCAGAGGGCGGGGATGTCGGCGGATGTGCGTGTACGGATCGTGACGTCCAGACGGGTCATGATGGGATGAGAAGAAGTGTGAGCGAGGCGGAGATGAGGTTGAGTCGGTTGGTCGGAGTGCGGAAACAAGCTCGGCCGAGTCGCCGGAGATCTGCACCACGGAGATTAGCACAATCAAGCTTATTAGCAGGCCTCCTCTCGAAGTTGACGGACTCGTCATCTCATCAATCGCTTTACAGGCGACGACCTCGACAGGAGGATGCTTGCAGTGGCACCGTAACACCGCATCTGAAAACTCGGACCGGGTGTAGCCGCCCTTGACCGCCCACCTCCTCATGGAAATTGCATTTGTAATCATCAATCCGTCCTCGAGCGGCGCCCCGACACTGCCGACTTGCCACCTCCTCGCCCCGCCACATTGTCCGACCTCCTCTCCTCGGCATGCCGCCGCCTCCAACTCGCCACTTTCCCACCTCGCCAAGATCCATTCAGCACTTACTAGCATCTATTGTCTGCATTGAATCGCGCCTCGCCGCGTGCGCTAAGGGGTGGCGTTGCAGCCATAAGGGTACAGCCAGCTTTCCCTGGACGTGCCGACACCAAGAAAATCTGTGCGCAGTCGAGCGCTGAAATCTATGTTACATGGTCTATTCTATGCTAGTTGTACTAGTGGGCCGAGGCCGTGTTTGCGGTAGGTTGGACTGATTGTGGGCGCTCTATGCTTGGCGCTGGTTGACGTTCGCGAGGTCTGTGGCGCGGACCTCGACGACGCGGGACGCAGTACGGCTGAGCGCGGGCGTGCTCTCGCCCGAGGGCACGTTGACGTTGGCAAGGTCGGTGGCTGTGAGATGCAGGACCTTTGCGGGGGCGAGGGGCGAGGGGACGTTGACGTGGGCGAGCTGGTCGGCCGTCAGGGTGATGGTGGGTCCCTCGCCGCCGGGGATGTTGACGTTGGCGAGGGTGGAGGCGTCAACGACGACGGCGGGAGACTCGGAGCGCACGCCGGCGGGGACGTTGACGTTGCCGAGTACAGTTGCGTCAACGAGCACGGCGTTGTCCTTCTTCATGAACCAGGAGGAGGGGCGAGACATCTCTGGGTGTGAGCGGCGAGCCGGTTGGGCGGCAAGTTGGGAGGACGGAGGAGGGGACGGGCGACGAGGAAAAGTGAAGATGTGGTGGTGGCGAATATGAGGTGGCGAGAGAAATGAGACTCACTTCTGCGAGTACGTGTGTGAGTGGGTGGATGAGAGATCGAGTTGCTTGAACTTGGGGGATGTAGATCGCGCGATGCTGGGTATTAGTATTGAATCGATTGGTCCGTGCCAAGAACGAAACGCCACTCACGGAACAGGGTGCGGAGGCGCGCCACGATCCCCGGTCCCCCGGGCCCCGCCCATCCCGCCCACTCGGCCCCGGAGACGGACACGGCCGACGGCTCTCGGCTGCGGCTGCGGCGGTGCACACCAGACATGGCCGAGTAGGTGGCCGAGGGGATCCGTTCTGAGCGTGCTCGGCGGTCTGCCGTCGCCTCGCCCGTTAGGTAGGTGTACTGGCACGGTACGTCGACGAGGGTGGGGGAGCGCGCGCAGTCGGTGCTCGGGCGTGCGTAGCGGATCTCCACCATGACTCAGAGACAAAGTTACAGAGGGTGGGAGCGCGGTTGGGTCTGAGTTGGGAGAAGGCTGAGGCAGCTGTATATGGCTGGCTTACGCGCGGACCGTGCGCATGCCGGGCTCGGCCCTACATGATGGTCCGGGCGAGGAGAAGCTCGGTGTCAAAGACTTCTGAAGCGGTGTCCACAGTGCCGAGAGCAACCTTGCACGAAGTCGGGATGCTGAGCGCTCATCAGTGCGTACATCGACACTCTCAGCTGATGAGACGACGATAGCACACGCCGTGGTGGCGTCTTGAGGCCATCTCTGATGGCGATGGGCGCAAGAGCTGACCGTGCAGGGCGCCACCTGGTCCAAGCGTGCTCTTGGATGTTGTTCTCGCGGCCACATCGGCCGCCGCCATCACCAACGCCCAACCGCCATGTCGTCCTGCCTCTCCTTGGCAGTGTTTGCGTATTGTCATTGCCATGCTCACATAAGCTTAGTAATCTGCGGATCTGCAGAACACGCGTGACGTAGTTTCCGCAGCACATTACGACGCGTTCCAGTCCGGCAGTCCTGACTACAGAATCTCGTAGGTTGCAGATTTTTCCGCCTCGGCCTTGGCAGGCGGTCGGAGGCGGTCGCGACTCGCCGATGCTGAAGTGAACTTCCTGCGAGCGAGCGACGCCGAGGCGCCCCGCAGCCAGCGGCGACGAGATGATTCGCTGTGTTTCCGCGGCCTTGGCACCAACGTCATTCCTTCCATCGCAGTCCAGGCCCACGGCTGGACGACCAGACGCCACCGTCGCCGCGTGAGGCGGTGCACGCCGCGTCGGGACAGCGGCGACGGCAACGGCGAGTCGGGATGGAACGGACATTGGGCAGGTCCAACTGATACTGCGGTGTGTGCCAAGATGTGTACCTGAATGAGGCGGTGCAGCGCCTCGCTATCTAGCCGACGCAGCCGACTGCGTTCCTGCTACCATCGTCATCATGCCTGCGACCGCTCCTGGCGACCTGACCGCGGACGAGATGGTAGGAAGCTGGTTGGTCGTCGCGTGAACCGACGTGACGGTCGCCGTGACTGTGGCGGTGTGAGTCTGTTCCCAGGTTGCTCTTTAAGAACAGCTAGAGAAGAGCAGATCTCAGATCTGTACCCATCTGTTCCATCAGCCGAGCGCCACTCTCTCCATCATTCACGCCGACAACTCATCCAGCACTCATCAGCCCCGCCCAACCCTCAACAACAGATATGCCCCGAGGATTACTACCCTATCCCAATCTGCCGAGCATACGGCCCGGCGACGTTGGCACCGCAATCGATGTCATCCACCAGCTGAGCAAGAACGTGCGGAACAAGCCTGCGTGAGTAGCTGTTTTCGCTTAGGGCGCTGACATCAGCTATGACTTTGCCGTTCTCAAGATGTACGTTGATACGAAGCTTGCCCGTGGCAAGTCACGGGGGTACGTCGTTGGCAAGCTCGATCGGCTGGAGGTGTTTGCCCCTCCAGTGTGTGGCGGGGCGTTCGTCCTCGTCCGCGACTTTTACGGATATCCCGCCTCAAAGTACTTCACCGCGCCCGCGATCAGTGTGACCTTCGATGAGGCACCACCCGCGTACGTGCCATACGAGGCACCGCCCGTCCTCGAAGTGGCCCCGCCGGTGCCTCCTCCTGCGACGACTCTGTCTGCGGCACCAGAATCGCCTCGCTCTCTGATTGAGACCGAGGCGTCTCCGCCCGTACCCCCTCCTTCGGCCGCGGTGCTCATCGCTCCTGCATCGCCGCCCATCGCGGCCGCGGCCCCCGCTCCGGCGTCACCCCAGGGCCCCGGAACTGCCGCTGCTGTGTCCGCCGCGCCAGCATTTTCAGCTCCCTCAACCGCCTCGAGCTCGCACACCCGCTCCGCATCCCACCGCCTTTCCAATGCGCTGTCAGCTCTCAAGCTCTCTTGTCCCGCAATGGCAGCGTCAACGTCTCCCATCGACCGCTCCAGCACGTCCTCGCCGGCGCCTATCGTCGTGAACGGGGAACACGCCCTAGAGATGTTGCGCGATTTTGACACGGTATTCGTCGTCGACGACTCGTCCTCGATGCGCATGGACGGGCGCTGGGAGCAGGCGTGTGCGGCGGTACGCGGAGTCGTCCACCAAGCATGCAAATACGACGATGACGGCGTCGACGTCTACTTTTTAAATGCGAAGCGGGACCGCGAAGGTGTCCGTCGGCCTGCCGACGTCGACAGGCTGTTCCAGGGCCTGCGGCCGACAGGGATGACGCCGACCGGGCGCACGCTCGAGAAGATTCTCCGCGATTACATGCGCCGCTTAGAGGCTGCGACCGCGGAGGAACGCGACGATGCTGTCAAGCCACTCAACGTTATCGTAATTACGGACGGCGCGCCCACCGACGACCCCGAGAGCGTCATTGTTAGCATTGCCAAGCGCCTCGACAGAGGCGACTACCCCCTGTCCCAGGTTGGCATCCAGTTCTTCCAGGTCGGCGACGATCCCGAGGCCACGGCCGCGCTACAGGAGCTCGACGACGAGCTTAGCGCAACACATGATATTCGCGACATGGTCGATACTGTGCCGTACGCTGGCGAATTGACGCCTGAGACGATTGTCAAAGTCCTCCTTGGGGGTGTGAACAGGCGCCTGGACCGCAGGGGGCGGGTTTAGTGTATTGTACGAGGACATCGATTGTATAAGTATCAGTACCCAGTCAAGTGTAATGTACCATACATGCTCCTTCCTGGAAGATGACACTGTCCCGGACTGTTAGCGGACTGTTAGTATGGCTCCTCAAGTGGGTTAAAGCTGGGGCTATGAACAAAGTACCGCAGTGTGCCGACGGCGGCCGAGATGGCATGGTAAGCGTCGATTATAAACGTCGAGTTGCAAGTCCAATGGCTGGATGGGGTGTGCCGCAAGGTCGGTCAGCATCGGTTAGCAGTTAGTGGCCTACCCCTGGCTGCGGACTACCCGTTGCGCAGTCATCCAACTGCGCAACCACGCAAACAAGCTGACACAGGTCCAAAGTTCAAGAAGATTCATACACGATCATAAGCCGAAATGATTCACGGACCACGGATGGATCACGAAAAGAGGGTATATCGAGGGCGACCGGACGGCGGCCATGTATCCCTACGCCGCCCACCTGGACGAGACGAGAAAGAAGAGCTGTCTAGTACTTGAAGTGGCCGCCGCCGAAGGGGGGCGGGCCCATGTGGTGTCCGTACTTCTGCGAGTTCTTGTTCTGCAAGTCAGCATGGTTGGGGAGTCTAGGGCGTGCGCGCGAGCGACTCACCGCAAACAGCTTGGAGAGGAGGTATGCGCCGCCGACACCGGCGCCCGCGCCCATCGCATACGTGCCCCACCCGGGACCGCTGTTCTGCCCGCCGTGGCTCGGCTTCTTGTGCTTATTCAGCAACGAGGTAAGGACCTTGTACCCGACGACGCCGACGGCCGCATTGGTGATCAGGCCACGCTCGCCATTCTGCGCGCCACCTGGCCCCTCGGCAGCGTACAGCTGCTCGGCTTCACGGTGGGTCTGCTGCTGCTCAGGGTGCTCCTGGCCGGGTGCGCAGCTTGGGTGGGTCCACGACGTCGTGGGCGGGTTCGTCTGCGGGTTCACATAGTAGATTTGCTTGTACTGCTCGTCCCACTCGCGCACCCTGAAGTCAGCTCAGTCAGACGGGAGAGGGAGGATGGGCGCAGAACGGTGGCGATCGCTGCATCAGCTTGACTCACCATGGGAAGGGGAGGTCCTCGTTGGACATGTCGCTCGCCTCGCGACTGGAGCTGAAGCCGCCCGACGCGCCCGGCGCTTGGTCACCGTAATACCCTGCGGCCTGACCGCTCTGCTGCCCGTACTGCGGCGCGCCGTACTGCTGCTGGGGTGCACCGTATTGCTGCTGCGGCGCGCCGTAGCCCGCGTTGGGGTTGAAGCCGCCGCCGCCATACTGGTTGCCCTGGTCGTAGGAGGGTGCGCCGTAAGGGCCCTGCGGGGGTGCGTTGAAGCCACCATTGGGCTGGAAGCCCGAGGGCGCGCTGTACTGGTTGTTATTGTCGTAGTAAGACATGGAGGTGGGAATGTGGACGGATGGGAATTGAGAGATGAGAAGTGAGTGGTTGTGGGAACACCGACGCGGCTTATATCGCAGCTGGACATGGCGACGCGGGTGAGGCTGAGGCTGTGCACTCTGCTTGGCACCGGAAACACCGCAACGTCATATCGCGCCGATCATGCCACCAACCACCCATGCCTTGCGCGGTTCTTCTGCAATCCTCATGCCTGGCCATGTTCGCTGCACCAGCTCTCTGGGCCGTCTGGGCTGTGCATGTAGACAGGAGGACCCCAGCACTTTCCGGCCATGAGCTATGGCCGTCGACGTGGCCGGGTGCCGAATTGGCTCGACGTCCCGCCTCTCTCGCGCGCTGCCCGTGCCTTGGTCTCGGATGGAACAGGCTGGCCGCGCGACCGAAGGCCGTCCTCTTCGGTTCCCGGACGCGTCATGTGCGCGGCGAAGTGAGCCTGTGCATGAGGATGCAGCAAGCTGGAAGTGCCTACCGAAATGGCGCATCTGAGGGATTAGCACGAGCCGATTAGCCACGCCACTCACCTTGTCTAATCGGCCTGCGGCTGGTAATTAAGCTTATCAGGGCGGTGCAGATAGCCGATCCAAGCGGCGATCAACTGCCCGAACACAGCTACGCGCTTGCGGTGCATTAATTAACATCAGCGTCATCCGACGACGCGTACGCACCTTAAGCATAGGGTGTTTCAGTGCCACGATCTGGTATGGAGAGCGTGGCGGGCGCGAGGGTGCCAACGCCACTCGCCGAAGTCACCCTTGTGCGGTGCACGCCGGCGCAGGCGCGCGCCGCGGTCCTGAACGACCCGCCCGCCGAGGCTGCAGACCTCGCGGCGCTTCTGTCGCGCGTGGCATTTGAGCCAGGACGACATGACGAGCTGGGCGCTTGTGCCCGCCGCCGACCCATGCACGACAGACCTGCTCTCGCACTGCGTCACGTGGGTTCCTCCGCCGAGTCGTCTAATACAGTTATCGCCGGCGCGCCGTCGCGCGCACGCGGCACGGCGACGAGGAAGTTGTCGCGTACGGCGTCTCGGCGGTATACACGCCACCTGCGCTCCGGGGGCGGGGGTATGCGCGGCGCTCCCTCCAGCTCCTCCATTATGCGTTGGCGCCGCGCGAGGCGCTCCCACCCTTTCCGGATTGGGGCATGCCGCCTCATGGCCCGCGCGATGCGCGCCTCTCGTTCCTCCATTCCGGCATCGATGGGGCATTCTATACGGCATGCACCCAAGGACTGGAGCGTGCGGGGTGGGTGCTCAAGCCGCCACATACGCGGTTGTTGACGGTCCGAGGGCCAGCTGAGGCCGAGTATGAGATGCTTGGTGCCAAGGATGTCGCGGAGTTGCAAGACGCATACGAGATGATTCTGCGCCAGAGGCTCAGACCGGGCCAGGTCGCCGTGATCCCCGACCTGTCGGCGCTGACGCGCCTGGCTCCGCCGTCTGTCTGTGGCGAACATTTTGGTGCGCGCGTCGCCACGGGGTGGTTCACGTATCTCAAGCTTCGGCCCAGCGAGGACATGCCGTGGCGGCTCACGCTGAGTGTCGTGCATGGCACGGTGCCGTTTGCTGTCGTCGCCTCTGTTGCCATACGCGAGCGCGCTAGTGTGATTGAGTATGGCGGCGAAGGCTTCACCGACTGGGACGAGGACGGGGTGGAGATCGACTACGAGTGGCCGAAGCCGTGTGTGTGCGTCTATGGCGAGTCCTTGGAGTGGATCGCGCCTGAGACGCTTGTGATCGAGGCGGTCGGCGTGCCGGGCCACTGGGCATGGTACTAGCCGTCGCGGTGATGCAGTGAAAGAAAGGCTGTGTCAACGGCCCGTGTCTCGTTTTTTCGCTGAGGAGCATGTCTCGACCCGTACATCCGTCTATTTAGTACGGTTCAACCATTTGGGCCATCACAGCAACCCCACCAGCCTGCCTCCAACGCAAGGCATCACCACAATCTTGGCAATGTGCATCGCGAGCGACGCAGCCGGCACATTGGGCGTGCCGAGGACGATCGCAAGGTCGCCAAGCGCCATCACGCTGAATCCAAGGAGGACGGTGCCGAGCGCGCGCGGCTGTTCACTCATGACAAGGGCGAGGATAGTAATCCCGAGCGACGTGTTGCGGATCGCTGACGCGGGGTAGAGGCGCGCCTCGGCGGGTGAGGAGCGGATGCCGTAGATCGCGGCGCCCTTCACGGGAGAAATGACGCCGATGACGCCCGATGTGAAGAAGACACCGAGGCCGAGACAAACGGGGCGCAGTGGGAATACTGGTGCTGTGTTCATGTTGATGAGGGCGAAGGGGCGGCAGGATAGACGTCTGGAAAGGCTGGGCTGTTATACTTCCTCTCCTACATCGAGAGCAGGTGTCCTCAATGCCGTTAATGGCGGACGAAGCGACGACCGAGTCACAAGATCAGATGCGGAAGTCACGTTCACTTGGCATCTCAAGTGTCCGATGAAGCGCGGGCACCGCACGCCGCCGCGGTCTTGCCTGGCCGCAGTCTTGGAGCTTCGCAGTTGCTCGTGCCCCCTGCGTTGCTGTGTGCTACGAGAGGTGCCAGTTTGTGCATGTATGAGGATAACTGGCACAACTGGCAGGGTTTAGCGAGATCAAAGCCACTGGAGTGGGTGGATTCGTCACGTGCTTGTGCGACGAATTTGACTCCGTACTCCGCTCCGTCAGAATTCCCACACTCACCCACCACTCGGGTCCTGTTTCGTTCGCCAACCATTCTAATTCAACTCTCCAAATGTCAACGTCGACTCCATCAATCGCCCACACTCCCAGTGCGAGCGCCCAGCCAGCGCAGGCTTCGGCGGCCGCGGGTACTGTCCCGGCTTCTGATGGAGAACAAATTACGCAGACCGCACAGCTAGGAGCCTCTTCTGGTGATGCGGAACAGCAGCTCCCCGCTCTTCCTTCATCCGCAGATGCGAATCTCAAGTCTGAGGAGGCGCCTGCGCCGCCAGGCCAGGTCTTCAGCGACATCGAGGAGCTGAAGCAGCACCTGCAAGACTGGGCGGGGGAGCACGGCTTCGCGATCTCATGCACGTCGTCCCGCGGCGGCGACTACTACACCATGCGGTGCAAGCGTGCACGGGGTGGTGGCGGCGGGTGTCCGTGGACAATGGTGGTGCGGCGCTTCTTTTTTGCGGTCGACAAGAACCCCGACGGCCGGCTAGCGTGGACCACGACGAACTTCACGCACAACCACCCGCCATTGCCACGCGGCACATTCGCCGTGCACCGTCGCCCGACGCCGGAGGTGCGCGACTACATCGAGCGCGCGGGGGAGCGGGGCGAGAAGCCGCGCGTCATCCTCAACGCTGTGCGCCGCATGGAGGGGTGTGCCGAGTTCGACATCGATACGGTGTACTATATTATCGCGCAGCGGCGGCGGAAGAGCCGCGCCGAGAGGGCTGTCAGCTTGACGGGGAGTGCGGCGGGAGGGGGCTCGACGGGTGTAGGCGAGGCCGGGCCGTCTCGCGAGAACGGCAATGCCAACGCGGGCGCTCAGATCCACGGGTCGGAGAGGAACGGCGACGACCACCTCAGCGGCGAGGCTCGCGCACATGGCGAGATCGGTACTATCGAGGTACATCCTGTGTGGCCTGAGAAACCGGACGGGGACGAAACGCTTGTCCATGGAGAGATGGGCGAAGCCGAACCTGGACCCGCAACGCCCGATGTGGGGCCAGCGCCGTCCGCGTCCGATACACCTGCACGCATCGACGCGCGCGGACGCGCCAAGCCTTGGTGCCCCAGCTGCAACAGCTATATCCGTCACCATGGGTCGTGTCCCCGCGATCAGCGCAAGCGCAAGGCGGCCGGCGACGACAGCAGTTACGTGGACGCTGGCGTGCAGACCGAGCCGCTCGACATCTTCAAGGACCCGATGTATGCGCGTCAGATCGCGGCGATCCTGCTTTCAGCCAGCGAGAATATAAAAGAACGCGCGGGACTTTAGGCGGTTGCGTTGGGATCTTGGCGCCTAGGCTCTATGAGGTGGAGACGAGGTGGGGGCGGAAAGGCGAGAAGGAGGAACAGAAGGAGCGACGATGAGTGGGGCAGGCGCGCGTCTAGACAGGCCCAATCGGCGAGAGCCTCGTGATATGTGTGTATATGATTGGGAGCAGTTTAGTTGTAGCAAGGTTAGATGTATTCACTCATGACAGCACTGATTGCGGCATAGATCGTGCGACGACGCGTGATTCTCGCTGTGCTGTCCCATTATCAAAGATACATGGGCGGAGCAGGCGCCTCGGAGCTCACCGCATCGCATAGTATGACCTAACCGGCCCTCGTAAGCGGCCCGTGCGGCGCCTACATACCACGAAGCGCCCATAATCGGCAGCGTGTCGGCGCAATCATAGCAGCGCCACATGCCCAAGAACAACGCCCGGGTCCGGGTGCATCCCCGCTTCCGACATACAAGCGGCGTACGAAGCCGCCACGGTCAGCGAGTGCCGCGGCCGTTGTGAGATTTCGCCGCGGTGAAACTCGACAGGCGGCCAGATCACCGCGGGGTGCTTGTTGCTCAGGGACCGGCGATCTCCCCACCGGGCCCCAGCCGACCGCGAGGTGTTGCATACCCGACGCCTCGCAGCCACATCTGTCTCGACCACGCTTCTCACATCGCTCAGCGCTCAGCATCACACGCGGGTGGTATATAACTCGCCTCCTTCTTGTTCCCATCACACATTAATCAACGAAACAGTGAGCCCCCTCCCCTCCCCTCCCCAGCCCTCACCCTCCCGCTCACACCAGTGACTATCGATATCGACGCTGAAGCGCTGCGCGCAAAGTATGCCGAAGAGCGCGACAAGCGCCTCGCTGCGCCCGTGGGGCGCAACTTCAAGCCGCTCGAGAAGCCGGGCGTCTTCGTCGACCCCCACATGCCCGTGATCCCGCGCGAGCCTGTGACGGACCACGTCGAGTTCTGCTACATCGGCGGCGGGTTCAGCGGGCTGCTGACGGCCGCCCGTGTCAAGGAGGCCGGGGTCAAGTCCGTCCGGATCGTCGACAAGGCGGGTGACTTTGGCGGCGTGTGGTGAGTCCTCGGCTCCGACCGCGACCGGAGTAACAGGCCAAGCCCTGACGCCAGGTACTGGAACCGGTACCCCGGCGCCATGTGCGACACGGCGGCGATGGTGTACCTCCCGCTGTTGGAGGAGACGGGGCACATGCCGACGCACAAGTACGTGTACGGACCCGAGATCCACGAGCACTGCCAGCGAATCGGGCGCAAGTACGGGCTGTATGACGACGCGCTGTTCCACACCGACGTGTTGGGCCTCGCGTGGGAGGAGGATGGGAAGCGATGGCGCATCACCACGAACCGCGGCGACAGCTTTACTGCGTCGTTCGTCGGCATCGGGAGCGGGCCGCTCAATGTCGCCCAGCTCCCCGACATCCCCGGCATCGAAAAGTTCAAGGGCAAGCAATTCCACACGTCACGCTGGGACTATGCGTACACCGGCGGCGACAGGCACGGTGCGCCGATGACCAACCTCCGCGACAAGCGTGTTGGGATCGTTGGTACGGGCGCCACCGCTGTGCAGTGCGTTCCGGCGCTGAGCCGCGATTCGGGCGAGCTCTTCGTGTTCCAGCGCACGCCGAGCGCCGTCGACGTGCGCGGCAACCACCCGTTCGACCCGGCGTGGTTCAAGGAGATCTCAAAGGAGCCGGGATGGCATGAGCGCTGGCTCCAGAGCTTCAGCGACTGCTGGGGCCAGAGCGTGCCCGATCCGCGTATCATGTGGGAGGACTACCCCGACCTCGTGGACGACGGGTGGACGCGGCTCGCTCGCCGCTGGCGCGACCGCTTCCGCGCCATCCCGCCCGACCAGTTCGGGCTGCCTGCCATCCTTGGGGCGATGGAGGCGCAGGACAACGAGACGATGGAGCGCATCCGCGCGCGTGTCGATGAAATCGTTACGGACAAGGACAAGGCTGCAGCCCTCAAGCCGTGGTACCGCCAGATGTGCAAGCGGCCGTGCTTCCACGACGAGTATCTCCAGGCGTTCAACCGTGAAACGGCGCACTTGGTCGATACGGACGGCCAAGGCGTCAGCGAGGTCACGGAGACGGGCGTCGTCGTCAACGGCAAGCACTACGAGCTCGACTGCATCGTCTGGGCCTCGGGCTTCCAGTTCGTGCCGGGAGACGTAACCACGCGCCTCGGGTACGACGTGGAGGGCCCCGCTGGCAAGCTCTCGGACGTGTGGGCCGCCAAGGGCGACGGAGGTGGCATGCGCACCCTTCACGGCCTGCAGACTGCCGGCTTCCCCAACCTCTTCTTCCAGCAGCTCCCGCAGACGGGCTTCCTCATCTCCAACCTCCCCAACAACTTCATCCCACAGGCAGCTAACGTCGCAGCCCTCGTTGCGCACGCCAAGGAGAAGGGCTACGCGAAGGTCGATGTCCAGCCCGAGGCGCAGGAGGCGTGGTGCGCCGCCATCCTCGAGCACGGGCGTCCGATCGGTAACCCCGAGTGCACGCCCGGATACTACAATAACGAGGGCAAGGGCGACAACATTCACACCAAGCTTATGGCCGGATACCCTGGCGGTGCGAGCGCGTTCGCCAAGCTCATGGAGCAATGGCGCGCGCCGGGCCCGCAGCAGTTTGCTGGTGTGGCGTTTGCGTAGTGTTAAAATAAGCGATAGTCAGAAGTAGTGACATGAATGGCACAGTGAGGGTGTTAGCATGGTTCATGATGCGAGACACATGTAGGATCATACAGGATGCAGGCTTGGGATGCTCTCGAAAGCTCTGCCGCGTGGCAGAGCGTCATGTGAGGCATCCCCTCTTGGACTGGTGACTGCTGCATGCACGACTACTTCTTGGGGAGGGTCTGGAGAATGTTGTCGTCGGTAACGTTGAGGAGGAGAGCGTTCGAGTCGAGCATGACACGGTTGCCGCTCTGTGCCACGACGCCGGCAATCTCGCGCGCAGCCTCGAGCTTGCGCAGCTGAAGGAAGCCCTTGTTGTTGCGGACAGCCTCACCAATGAGCTCGGCCGACCTGGCCTCACCCTGTGCGCGGACAATGATGCTCTGCTTCTCCTGGATCGCCTGGTCGACCTGGAAGGCCGCACGCTGTGCGATCTGCTGCGCGACTTGCTTGGCCTCGACGGCGTGCGTGAACTCGGGCGAGAAGGCAACGTGAGTGATCGACACGTCGTCGAGAATGAGGTTGAAGCGGCGGGCGCGGCGCGTCAGGTTGTCGCGCACGAGACGCGAGACCATCTCACGCTGGGTGATGAGCTGCGAGGCGTTGAACTGTGCCACGACGGACTTGAGCACCTCATTCACAATGGAGGGGAGCACGCGCTCATCGTAGTCGGTCCCGAGCTCGCGGTAGCTGGTGTTAGAGGTCGTAACTCCTTAGTACAGGCGAGGCAACAAGGTCGATCAAGGTTGGACTCACATCGTTGGCAGGTCGTCGACGGCTGGGCGGGAGAGCACACGGCAGGTAATGTTGACCATCTGCAAGTCCTTGGTACCGGTGAGAGAGGCAATGTTTCTCGGCTTTGCGCGCACGTCGTAGATGATGGGTGTCTCGAGCCAAGGGACCTGATGTGAGCTGGTTCTTCAGACTCGCCGAGCCGAAATGACAATGGACCAGGTCGCCGCGTCATCCTCTCCGCTCCCTTGTGCATCTTCCCTCCACCTGATCAATGCACCACACCGCTACTCACTCGAATGTGCGTCCCTTCCGGGTAGATCTTGCTCATGACACCATGCAGACGAGAGTACTTGATCGCGCGATGTCCACCGTCAACGTTGAAGAGGGAGGCATTGAGTGCCAGTCCGCCGGCAACGAGCACGATGATCATGCCCGAGCCCGCGAGAAGCCCGGCCGGCCCGCCGGGGCCACCACCACCACCGGCGCCACCACCAGAGCGCTGGGCCTGCTGGCGAGCACGGTTGAGCTGCTGTGCAAGACGAGCAAACGCCTGTCCTGGGTTGCTCATGATTTGTGAGGTTGGAGTGTGAGAGCGAGGAAGAGAATGGGAAGGAGGTGAATGAGGCTTGCCAAGTGACGAAATCGAACGGAGCGTGGGTTGCGCGGCCCTCGGCCAGACTAGGTCACGTGATGCCGTCAACCTCCACTTTGACCCCCCCCCAGGACGCCATGCGGAAGCTGCCACTGACCCAAATTGTATGCATGCAAGCACAATTATATGAAACTATGCAAATTATTCGTTCCGACTTGACTGTGTTTGAGGAGTGGATGGAGGAGATTGAACCCATTTACAAGCGACGTGTTGCTACAGTCCATTAGTATCATGCAACTAAATGATGTATTAGAATCCGAGGTGCCACATCTGCGGGGAAAGGAGGTTTGATTAGACAGTGCCTATGTTGATTAGCGAAAGCTTAGAACAATGTAATAGAGTTTGCCACCGGAGTAATGAATCCAGGGGATTTGTGACAGTGAAATGACGCCCCTCCCGCATTCCCCGCACTTGGACAAGTGGCTTGATTCCCACCCGGCATTCATTCCCCCCTCGCGCTGCCTTGTTCCTCCTCTCTCGCCGTTCCATCTCTCTCCATCTCTCATCTTCGTCCTTGATCATCCTTGCGCTCACTCCTCTCATCATGCATCTCGGCACGCTCCTTACCCTCCCCCTTCTCGCCGCCGCTGTCCCCGCTGCTCCCCTCAGCGGACAGGCGCCTTTCCAGCCCGCGTCCTACGACCCTGAGATCTCGATCGACCTCGACCTCGACGACCTCCGTCTCGTTCGCTTTGCCGAGAACGAGCAGCCCGTGTAAGTCCCAGTCGCTTGCTGCTCGACTGGTGCTAATACCAGATGGGTCACCGAGCTGCAGAAGATTGAGGCCAAGGCAGCAGGGCGTAACTTTATGGACATGTGAGTGGGCACGGATCGTCCGTCTGAGGTTGGCGGAGGGAGGAGATGGCGTGCGGTTGGTGCGGTGGCTTGTTGCGAGCACACTTTTGGCACCCAGCAGAGGCAAGCGCACCGCCGACGAATGCACGTCGCGCTCGCAGCTATCTCTAAAGGGCCCTAGCAGAAGCTGTCGGAGGGCAGCAGGAAGTGACGGAGGTCGCCGATCACCTTACCGAGGTGCTCGGGCAGGTTCCGAGCGATGATCGCCCGAATGCATGCGCCTGGTAGCGCCATCCATGCGCCCCCTCGGCGTGTCTTCTACGATGGGGACTACAGCGGAGACGAGGTGGGCTCGAACAACGGCGAGAACGACGCGTATGCGTCCTCTCGAGGTTGAACCTTGAACTGGTCACGAGATGTCACGGAGCCGAGGAATGACCCCGCTCGTCCAGCGTAACCGTGCTAATCTGCAGCACCGACACGCCCAAGCTCGGCATGTCCAGGTTTTTGCGGCCCAAGAAGGCGTCCAAGCACAAGTACGCTAAGCCGGGCAAGCAGTCCAAGGAGGTCAAGAGCTTCCAGAAGAACATTGATGTCAAGCACATGGAAAAGTTCCTCACAAAGTTCACTGGCTTCAAGACGCGCTACTACCGCTCTCAGACCGGCAAGGACTCGCAGCGCTTCCTGCAGGCAACCTTGTCCGAGATTAGCAACTTGCACGAGGGCGGCGGCATCAAGGTGTCCGAGTTCCCTCACTCGTGGGGCCAGAACTCGCTCATCGTGCGCTTCCCTGCCGAGAACCCCAAGGGGCCCGTGACCATTGTCGGCGCCCACCAGGACAGCACCAACATGTGGCCTTTCCTTCCCGCGCCTGGCGCTGATGACGATGGGTCTGGTACAACGTCCATTCTCGAGGCGTACAAGTCGCTCGCTGCCGGCAACTTCACCTCGGCCAACCCTGTCGAGTTCCACTGGTACTCTGCTGAGGAGGGTGGACTGCTGGGCTCGCAGGCCGTTGCTAAGGACTATGAGGCCCGCGGTGTCGATGTCAACGCCATGATTCAGATGGACATGACCGCATGGGTGAAGCGTGGCACCGACGAGGTCATTGGCATTGTTACCGACTTTGTTGACCCCGACCTTACCTCATGGCTCTCAAAGGCCGTCGACACGTACTGTGAGTTGTTTGGGTCGAGTTGAGCCGCTCTGACCACACAGGTGACATCCCTGCAGTGGAGACCAAGTGCGGTTACGCGTGCTCGGACCATGCGTCCTGGACGCAGGCTGGGTACCAGAGCTCGTTCTCGATCGAGAGCAGCTTTGAGGACTCTAACAAGAACATCCACTCGACCAACGACCGGATGGACATTTCGGACGAGTTCTCGATCAAGCACATGGCGCAGTTCTCCAAGCTTGCCATTGCGTTTGCCGTTGAGCTCTCGGCGTAATGTGGGCCGAGCTGCAAGATAACATTCTCCGAGTCGGCGACTGGCTTCGCCGATGACACATTTATCTACGTTCATTTTCCGCCCGCCATCCCTGTCATCTCCTCTGTCCAGTCAAAGACGTCGCTCCCTGCATGCCTGCTGCGCCAGGCTCGGTAGAACAGTACACCGCACGATGTATTCAGAAGTCATGGAAAGAGAGAGCGAAAACAAAACATGAGAGGAATGAGGCCGGCGGAATCAATTTCCAACGAATCTCCGCATTGTGCCCTCTGCGCCCTCTGCCGGGTGGACCGGCTATTCGGGGCACGGTCCCACCGGTGAGCGGATGGCCGCGTCTCTTCACTCTCCACTCTGATCCACTTGATTTGTGCCAAGTCTCCTCGATCTCATCTCATCTCTCTCTCTCTCTCATCTGTCATCTCCTTTTCCCCCTCCCACACTCGTTACCATGACCGCCGTCGACGCCCTCATCCTCCACCCCAAGGTCACCCAGAGCCTGGCCCTCCTCGCCACCACCCTCGGCCGCGACAAGGCAAGTTTGGCGGCACGGCCAACCCCGCCGCTCCCACGCTGGATGCCGAACCCCGTTCCGCACCTCCTGCGACCACCCCCCGCCTTCCGCTGACACCCAGGTCTACCGTCTCATCCAATATGTCTCGCGCGTCGTCGCGTGGTCCGCCGCGCGCAACGGCCACCTCGACCTTGCCTCCCGCTTCGATGCCCTCAAGGGCGCGCTGGGCCAGGCGCGCAAGGGTGCGTCGAGAGTGTCGAGCATGACTGATTCCAGTGATGCGTGTGTTCAAGCCCGTTGAGAACCTCCAGGCGGCTGTCAAGATTGCCGAGGCTCCCTTGTAAGTTGCCCCACTGCCCCCTCCGTCGTCGCGGTCGGGGTCGCGCCCTCGTCCCACTCCCCACGCACGAACGCTAACAGCACAGCAAGGGCTACACCGGCGCCGAGCACCTCGCCCAGGCGACGCAACTTACGCGCCAGCTGTGCTACGCGACGTACCTGACGCTCGACTCGATCATTTGGCTGCAGTTCGCCAAGTTCCTGCGTCTGGACAAGGACAAGATGGCGCGGATTGGGCGGGTGTCGCAGAAGGCGTGGTTCTACGGCATTCTCTTCTCGCTCGTGTCGAGCGCGGCGAGCCTCGTCAACCTGCGCGCGCAGAGCCGCCGCTTCGCGCTGCAGGCGGACATTGCGCGCGATGACGAGAAGGACGCCGCGGCCGCCGAGGCCGACCGCCGCAAGCAGGGCCGCGCCCTCCTCACCCAACGCCAGACCATTATCAGCCAGCTCGTCACCGACGTCTTCGACTTCTGGCTCCCCGCCAACAACCTCGGGTACACCCACCTCAACGACGGCATCGTCGGTACCTGCGGCGCTATTACGTCCTACATTGCCCTCCAGAAGGCGTGGGCCAAGCACGCGCGCAAGTAGACACGCAGCGTGCATGCTGCCCAGAGCGCGAAGAGATACCACTGTGCAAAGGATCAGTGTAAAAGTTCAGCAAAGTTTCTGCATAGGTTGTCACGCTGGATGTGTAGGAGACGCAGAGACGCAGAGACGTGATGCAAGCGATACATCGGATGTGGGGTAAGCGACAGATGGCCCGGGATCACGGCCCCCGGTGAGAATATCGGAAAAGCGTACGGAGTGGAAGCAGTGACAGGCAGCGCAAGCAAGGTATGGAGCAAGGGCGTCTACTGATCCGGGAGAGGCGCCTGGGCGGTGAAGTGGGACGGGAGAAGCAGAGCTCCATCGCGGTGCACGGGCAGGGCAGGACATGACTGGGCGCCAGATAGTATGTTGGCTGTGAGGGGCAAATTGGGCGTAGTGATGAACATTATACAATGCATACTCTCCGCATCTAACCCATCTTGGCCTGGCATTAGTGCTGGGACGTACGATCTGGGCAAGCCGGGCGCGGCGGCACATCATCCCCTCCACCTTACGAAGCCGCGCCCACCACCGGCCCCACTCACATTGCTGAAGTCCATCTCGGGGTGCGCCTTCTTGAACTTCTCAAGCGCCTCCATCTTGCGGAGTTCGTCCGACGTCGGCTTGCCCGCCTGCCGCTGCTGGTTGTCGAACTCGGCGTCAGCTTGTACACGGGATGACGTACCATCATCTTCTCCACCATGGCGCGTGTCTCGCCGTCGAGGTCGCTCAGCTTTGAGCTCTCGGGCTGGATCTTGGTCGTATCAATCTTGGGATCGTGGGTCAGGACGTGCGGCCACCAGCGGTGGCTTCCGATATGCGCGCTCATCTTCTCGAGCTCAAACGTGAGTGTGCCACTCTCTGCGGTAGATCAGCTGGGGCGCTCCACTCGCCTTCCTTCCACCCTCCGCCTCCGGCTCCCCTCGCCACTCCACGTCCCGTCACAGTTCGCCTTTCACATGCTATCCCCTTTGCTCCAGCTGACTCACCAATGGTCCACGAGCTGTCATCCTTCGCAATTTCTTCGAAGAGTTCGCCCTCAATCAGCGTCTCGCCGCCCTTGACCGCGACCTGGAAGTCAGCATTCCTCGCGAAGGTCGGGGCACCTTGAGCTTTCTGCGCTCCATCACGACCTGGAGGTCACGAGAGCGAGTGCCGCTCGGTAGAGGGACGAAGACTGTCACTGTGTTCAAATCTTGGCTCCACTTGTACGGAAGCGCTGGCGTCAGCTTCCCCGCTCCCGGCGTTGTTGGGGAAGGAAGGACAGCAGGAAGATGAGAGCAAGCTCACCATCCTGCTCGGCCTGCTCGCGAGCACGCTCTTTGGCTTCGTAAGCCGCGCGCTCCTCCTTGGACATCTTGTCAAGCTCCTGAATTGAGGCCATGGTGTGAGTGGTGAATGAAAGACGGAGAGCGAGAAGAGTAGCGATGGGGTGAGGGAATCTTGCAACGGCGGAAGACCTCCACTGCGCATGACGCTCGAAGTATCGCGGGGATTGATTACAAACTCCGTGCGGAGATGGCCACCTTGTCCGGCACTAAGCGCGCTTTTCCGCGGGGCCCTCGCCATGTTTTCCGCGCGCCCTTCATTCCCCTCGCTCCCCGCATGAGATCTTGCCACCTCTTTCTTGTCACCCTCTCTCCCCTCTCGATCTCTCACTCACTTCCCTCCTAATCCGCCCACTCCGGGCTCTGTATTCATCTAGTATACCCTCACAGCCATGGGAGAAGAGGCCGACCCAGGTGGCGCCGTGCGCGACCTCGTCTGCGGAACCGTATGTCTCCTCTCTCTTTGTCAGCCATTCCGGCCGACTGACCCCAGATCGCGGGCATGGCAGCCAAGCTATTCGAACACCCTTTTGATCTTGGTGAGTGCTTCTCTTTGAGCCTGAGACATGCTGTATCCTGCGCGGCTCCAGGTGTTGTTAGACCGGTACATGTCGCGTCTGCTGTGGCTGGTGACACACCAGCTTCCGCTCCGTAGGTCGTCCAGCCTGGCGCTGCCGGCACATGGGCATAGGGCGCATCGTTGGATTAGAGCTGGCTGGAGTACCGCCAGCATGCTGAAATCGCCCGAGAGCTGCCCCTCAGTATTTGGCAGACGACGCTACCTCTGAGGAGGCCGTGGATGGTGTACATTCCGAGACAGAGCCTCCGAACAAGGCCCGATCCTCGCTCCGCATGTCCCGGCCGCAGCTAACCAACAGTCAAGGTGCGCCTGCAATCGCAGCCTACCGACCGCCCCGCGCAGTTCAAGGGGCCTCTCGACTGCTTCAAGTATACTGTTGGGCATGAGGGTGTGCGGGGCCTGTACCGCGGCCTGTCCGCGCCCATCTTTGGCGCCGCTGTCGAGAACGCAACTCTGTTCTTCGTGTACAATCGTTGTCAGGCCGCCATCTACCAGCTTTCCTCTAAGCCTGCCATCGTCGGCGGAGTGCAGCGTGAGCTCAGCATTCCGGAGCTTGCTCTCGCTGGTGCCGGCGCGGGCGCCGTGACCTCTTTCGCTCTGTGAGTGATTGGCGTGCTCTTTGCACTGACGGCAGCACCCCTATTGAGCTTATCAAGTGCCGCATGCAGGTACAGATGCTCGCCCCCTCTGTCGCGGCAACCGGTCCCGTGATTGTCAAGACTGCGCTCGAGGCGCCTGGCTCACCCTCTTCGACGGTGACTCTTCCCGCCAACCTTGTCAACGGCAAGGCACCTCTGAAGGGTCCTCTGGCTCTGATCGCCGACACGGTCCGTCAGAACGGAATCCGCGGCTTGTGGTTGGGCCAGACGGGCACATTCCTCCGCGAGACTGGTGGCTCCGCCGCTTGGTTCGGCATCTATGAGCTTGCCGCCCGCCTTATGGTCAAGCAGCACCAAGCGCGTGCGCCACCAGGCCATGTCGCGTCCAAAGCGGACCTTGCCGCATGGCAGCTGATGCTGGCAGGAGCAATGGGTGGTATCGCCTACAACGTCTCGCTCTTCCCTGCCGACTGCGTCAAGAGCACAATGCAGACTCACGCCGAGCTCAACCCCAACAAGCCTGTTCCGGGATTCGGTGCGACGTTCATGAACATCTACCGCATGCGTGGAATCCGCGGGCTGTATGCCGGATGCGCGCTCACGTGTCTTCGTTCGGGGCCGTCGTCAGCGATGATTTTCGGCTTGTTTGAGACGCTGCGCATCAATTTCGGCTGGGTATTTGAGCCAGGATCTGGCAAGGGACCGGAGCAACTCAAGTAGTAGATGATAGAGTAATAGTGTACGCATGTACCATTCTTGTACCAACGGGGGCTGAATGTCTTGAAAGACAAAAGCGGGGTGAATGGGTTCAAGCGGGGGTAAGTTGTTGTAGCGTTAGTCGCATCAGGTATTGACTGGGTATGTCTCTCAATCCATGTCACCATTCAACACTACGCCTGCGGCCGTCCAGCCTTCCAGCCGTATTCAATGCTCTTCATTTCTTCTGTGGTTGCTCTGTTGCCCTTCTGCACATATATACTCGACTCATCCGCTTCTCCTCTCTGTTTTCTAAATCCCGGACCTTCTACCCCTCTCTCTTGTGCCGTTGGTCCATCTAACTGTTACACTTCCTTCGGCGCGCGGGTCGAAGAGAAATCATGTCGACCAAGTTCTCCCCGCTGTAGAATCACAACTCCTGCACTGTTTACCGTTTATACCCCTAAGTAACGACAGTGAGCACCCACTATGGAACAGTCTAACTCATCCCTCAGTCATGGTGTACATCCAGGAAAGCGCAAACTCCCTTACACGCCTGCCAAAGCGTACCGTCGATGGGCGCTTGGTAGCACACCACATTGATCATCCCGACGGCAATATCCTTTCCACTGCAGCGACACTATGTCCGTGGTGTCTTGAGGTGGCTCAGCAGATTTGTACCCATCAGCTGTATCAAGGCTTCGATCTCCCCGGGTGTCAGCAGCCTTCCGCCTTCCAGCAGCCTTCCAATTTCCAGCAGCCCGTCGGCTTCCAGCACCCTTCTGGTTCACGGCAGCTCGGGGGCTTCCAGGTCGAGAGCGCCACCCAGCTTGTGGGCGATTTCGAACAGCCTTGCCTTCCTCAGCAGAACGGCGGGTTACAACAATACGTGCCACTCTCGGTCGGCAATGGGAAGCAACAGACTGCCAATGACTACCCGGCATCCGTTCCCATGCAGAGCCACCCCCAGCACCTCTACGGCGCGTTCACTACTGAAGCCAACCTCGTCCCCGACGACTCGGACTTCACCGCTCTCTTGCCCCGGACTCTTGAGCAGTGGCACGACCCAAATATCCAAAAGGCATTCTACGACTTCACCAGTTGGTACATGAACAACCCGGGCTGCATCGTCCTTCCCCCAGCGGCAATGCACTATATCCGCCTCCTCGCACCGCGCGGAAAACGTCTCATTGACATGTGCACTGTCCTTATCTCCAAGCGGGCTCCCCTCCCCACCGGGTACGCCTCCCTCGAAATCGAGTGGCAGGCTCAACAGCAGATCGCCATCCTGCAAGCAATGCTGAACGAGGCGGTCGCTCATAACTGAAGCGCCACAAGCTGCGAGATGTTTTCGACTTGGTCCAGTTCTTATCTTACAGTTGCCATGCACGCAATGAAAGCTACTGAATGTTTCTGGCGCATTGGTGGACATGGCATTTTCGGGTCGACAGAGGCCAAGTCAATTTCGGACGCGATTGATATCCCGTGCCTGAATTCATGCATTCCGTGCACACGGGCAACTGTCTCGCATCGTAATCATCTGAATCTACCTCAGCGTCACCAGCCACAAGAGTTTGCCACCCGCCATTCATGTACTAACAGGCCCATCGCCATCTTTGGCATAGACTACATCAGTAGACTCCATCAACACATCAAGGGGGAAGGGAATGCGGATTCTACACTCTCAGCGCGCCGCCTGGAAATCGATTGTCTGCCAAAGAGCGTGAAGTCTGCCTCCAATTGACACTTCTACTGTAGTTACAGAATGCCAGATTATTATCCACACAGGTTCCAGAAGCCAATTCTAGCGGAATCAAATATTCATCAAGGTGCAGTTCCACTCACTTTCAGACCTCCACTTTCGACTCTCCCATCCTCCACAGCACAACCATGGCCTCAGCTCTACGACGTTGCACGGCATGCCTGCACCCGTATAGGCCAGTGACATTGCGATGCTCTGGTAGAGCGGCATCCTCGTCCTCCAAGTCGAAGCGCGAGGAGCCCGAGCCGAGACACATCGACGAGGACATTGACGAGTTTGATGATGTTCTCGGCGAGCTCCACCGGCGGCGCAAGAAGATGGACGCAAAGCGTAACCGGACAGTGAGTGCTTTGGCGATTAGCCTGCTCACGACAGGGCGGCGACTTCGTTGACTTCCTGCGCGTCACGGTCCGAGGCGGTGAGCAACTGCGCCGAGCGTGCTGACGACAGGTAAGGGAGGCGCAGGCACCGCAGCCTTCCTCCCAACCAAGCGTGGTCTCGGCCCCCCCTCCGGCGGTAATGGCGGGCCTGGAGGGTCGGTATATCTCGAGACATCGCCACTCGTCACGTCCTTGACGTCGGTGTCAAACCGGCTCATCGGTGGGCAGGGCGGCCACGGCGCTGGCAACCTGCGACACGGGCGGCGCGGAGATGACATCACTGTCGTCGTTCCAGTCGGCACAGTCATCCGAGAGATTGGGCGTGAGGGCGAGGCGGAGAAGACGGGGCGAGAGAACGACGACCTTGGCCTGAGCCGCGAAGAACGGCACAAGCGCACGCAGGAGCGATGGTTCGTACAGCACCCGACGCTGCAGCCCAACGAGCGCGAGATGGCCGAGGCTGAGGGCACATGCCGACGTGCAGGGCGGTGGTCGCGTCCCACCCCGAGCTTTGAGCAGGAGCCGGCGTTGGAGATGGACATCTCGGCGCCCTTGACAGCACCTGTACTGCTTGCGCGCGGTGGCGCAGGCGGCCTCGGCAACCCCCACTTCGTGAGCGGCCACAACCGCCACCCGCGCTTGGCGTCGCGCGGCGTCCTCCCACCCACCCGCACCTTCGAGTTTGAGCTCAAACTCCTGGCCGACGTCGGTCTCGTTGGACTCCCGAATGCGGGCAAAAGCACGCTCTTGCGGGCGTTAACTGGTCGCCGCGCTGAAGTGGCCAACTACGCGTTCACGACCTTGCATCCGCAAATCGGTGTCGTGCGCGTGCTGGAAGATGGGAGCTGGGCCGCTGAACAGCAGGGCCCCGTGGAGGAGACGGAGCAGGAGAGGGAGTTCGACGCTCTGGCCCGCGAGGTAGGCGAGTACGTCCCCCTCGGCCGCGCATCGCGGGACCGGAAGCGTACTGAGCGCACGCGCTTCTCCGTGAGCGACAATCCCGGTTTGCTCGCCCGCGCAAGCGAAAACTACGGCCTGGGTCACAGTTTCCTGCGGTCAATCGAGCGCTCGCTCGCCCTCGCATACGTCATGGACGGGCGACGCCCAGACCCGGCTGCTGACATGCGCGTCCTCCGCGCCGAGCTCGAGGCATACAAGGCCGGCCTGGCGGGCCGCGCCCGCGTCATCGCGCTCAATAAGACCGACGAGCTGCCTGAAGATGAGATCGAGAGCAAGGTGGCGGCGCTGCGGGCGACAGTCGAGGAGTTTGGGGACAACGCTGAGGTGCTCGTCATCAGCGCCAAGTTCGGCACGGGTGTCGACCGTGTGGTGCACTTGCTCGCGGATGCTGTCGACGCGGCGCGTCCTAAACCTACAGTCAAGGAGGAGAAGCCCGAGGAGATCGTCGAGAAGGCAGAGGTGGAGGAGTTGTTCTAATTGCATCGCCGCTCATCACCATGCATCTTCACTCATCACATATTATCCATCTTAAGACAGGCACGGATCGCTACCTGCACGAGTTATCATAAATGTGTCGTGTCCATCGCCGCGCATTGATCCACGCGATCGGGTATGTTTAGCCAGAAGAGCACATACTTTCGTTCTCGCAATCTCTTGTCCATGCGGCAAAACACCGCTCAGAAACGGGCCGCTTTTCCGAGCTGCTCGCTGAACCGGCGCACGATAGGGACCATTCCACCCTCGTCGGCGACAAACCCAAGGCCAAGTGGGTAGGAGTTGTCAAAACGAGCGGGCCACGATCCGACAATACGACGGTTTGTGGCATCGTCCTTGAAGGTCACGAGCTTGAGCGCTTCATCTCCAGCCACTTCGCGGAGGGCTTCGAGTTCTTCTCGCACCGTTGTGGTGAATCCGGGGAGGTAAACAGCACGTGTGTGGGGCAGGAACTTTTCTGCAGGAATGTGGCTCGCAATGACAAAGTTGCGGATTGTGGTCTCTGGCGATGCAACCCAGACGGGCAGCTCGAGTGCAGGCGATGACAGGCTGTCACCGACGGGGCAGACTGCCACCTCCCCCGAGAGGGGCTCGCGGATAATGCCGCTGAGGAATGAAGATGAGGCGTTGGAGGGTGGACCCGGGCGGACGACAATGGTGGGGAGGCGGAGGATGCGCCCGTCGATGAAGCCGCGGCGGGTATATTCGTTGACGAGCAGCTCGCTCATGAGCTTTCCGCACCCATAGCTCCCCTCGGGCGTGGCGATCGTGGACGGCCCGACGACGTCCGGCAAGGGCCCGCCGTACACGGCGAGGGAGGAGGTGAATATAAACTTGATCGGGGGTTGGTTTTCGGCCTCGGCGCGCGCGCGATTCAACAACAGCCGAATGCTGTCGAAGTTGGCGCGCATCCCCAGGTCGAAGTCATCTTCTGCTCCGCGCGACATGATGCCATGCAGGCAGTAAATGATTTGCGGCGGGCCATAACTGGTCGTAAAGAGCCCGTCTATGGCAGCGGGATCTGTGAGGTCGGCCATGATCGTCACGGCCCCGGAGGCTTTGGGGGCCCGCGGCTCGACAATGTCCGCAAGAATGAGCTGCGTGCCGGCGTCGTCGGCCAGCAGCGCGTCCCCGAGGATGCTTCCCAGCCAGCCGCCAGCACCCGTGATCAGCACAGTGCGTGATGCCTCTCCGTTGATTGCCATGGCGTCTGGTCGATGGGCCATGGTGTGAACGCAGAATAATATCTGCAGACGACAGAGACTTCACGCTGTGGCTCGGAATGGGTAGCCGGCTCCGGGCCGATGTTGGGGTGGGCCGGAGAGATATGATGCCGCGATACGGACCTGGAAGAATAATGGAGCGATGTCATGCAGGCATCAAGTCTCGATTGCAGCAGCAGACTGAGCAGCTTCCGTCGGCCCGGTACCTACGTTTTGGAGCTGACTCATGCATATCGGCGTCGCAGCGGAATCACCGATGGTATATCTGTACCAATGACGAGCACAACCTGACATGTCACTGAAGCCGCTCGAGCACCCAGCCCGACTGTTTGTCTTGCTATGCGCAACGAGTCGCGCTTAAGCGTAAAACAGTCATCAGAAACTGTTCATTCAGCAGAGACCTCTTCCGCACCGTGCGCCTGGTCGTCCTCATGAATCGGCGTGAGGTCTGCGGGAGGATCAGTGTGAGCCATGAACGCTGCCAGACGCTAACGGGTGTGTATATTTGACTGTCCCCTCTGACTGGGACGTTGCAATCAGCGCCCAGAACAGCACTTTCGCCGCTACGTAGTCCCCTCATCGCCAAGAGCGGCATGGCTCGGTCTCGGAAGTCGGTCGGGGTGATCGTCATTGGTGCCTGAGGCCACCCGACCAATAGCGAGCACGTGATTGTTGACATCCGGCGCCCCTCCGCACTTGGCCGATCATCTTCGCCACCACAGAACGCCACAATCTCTACTCGATCCCGCATCTCCCATCGCCCACCATCTCCTCCATCTCTCCTCACTCTTCTCACTCTTGCAGCCATGATCGACCACGACGGCTTTCCAGCCATAGTGTCTGCCATACTCGAGTACTCCCCAGAAGGCGCACTGCACGCATGGCGAGGCACAAGCCGCTACTACAAGCAATATGCGGACGCCAAGCTCCTGCGCCACATCACCTTGGATGTGCCGCGCTGCAGTGCAGGGAGGAGGCTTTCAGCGTCTCGTGGGCGTCCCCTCCTTGTTCGTAGCATCAGTGGATCCCGCATCCCCGGCCTGGCGTGGGAGGACCCGGATGCGTCGCCAGCACAACGCGAGGCATGGGCAGCGGCCCTACGGTCACACGTCAAGGTTGTCGATCACGTCGCCGAGATTGCGTTTCCCGACGACGACCCAAAGCTCGCGGCTGCGCTCGATCGCGTCAGTCTGCTCCGCCGCCTATTCAACGCACAGGACATCATACCATGGCGCCTGGACTGCTGGCGCTATGCGCTGCCCGCCGTGCGTGTCGTCGACTACCTCTACCTAGGGCCCCAACACAACGCAGAGAAGGCGCAGAAGGGCGCCAAGGTCGAGTGGGAAGAGGCAGAAGATGACGACGACGAAGATTACCGCCATGTAATCCTCGACATGCCGCCGAGCGTCAAGTCGAGTGTCACGGTTATCCGGTTCGACCCCGCAGACACCGGCGAGGCGGCGTACCGGTGGCAGTTCTGGGATCGGTCCGGACATGCCCCATTCGTGTGCGTGTTCCTCGAAGCCCCGTCAGGCTTGCCCGCGAGCGGGGTGCCGGCGAAACCACGATGGACATTTGTGCGCCCGCTCATTAGAGCATTGCGTAACTACGCGCCGAGCACACGCCCCGTCCTGGTGGGAATCACCGAGATTCCACGCGGAGCGATCGGGTTTCCGGACAACGCGACTGATGACGAGGTGCGGGCGTCGTTTATCGAAACACTCATCGCCGAGGTTTTGAGCTGGGACGACATGATGCCTGCTCGCCTTCGCCGAGTCACCGATTCGATCACGTTTCTCACGCATGGCGAGTATCGCGCACGCGTTGGTCACGAGGCATACGAGCTGGAGATTGGGGGCGAAGTCCGCGTGAGGCGACGAGAGAAGATGGACGCGCGTGAGGTGCTGCGCCAGCTACGGATGTGACCCGAACGCACAGCAGGCCAAGTGAGTGCCGGGTGAGGTGAGCGGGCGGGCCCCAACGTCGGGGGACCTGGATCATTATTGGGACCGAAGTTGTACATGATGCCGTGTATTCGACATCTCCGTTGTACTTGCTGTGGCCTCTTTGCTAGCGGCGTACTACATGCAAGCTGAGATAAAAGGCGATCCGCCTCTCCAAGCGCGGTACCTGGTGCCCGATCATGACAGCGACGCGAAGCTGAGCCAGCTACATCTGGGACTCTCCCAACTCAGATAAGCTCTCCCAGAGCCGATGCTAGCTATTCCCACGCATGCATGCATACTGCAAGTGAGCATTGGAAACCACCTACACCCCGGACCTCCGTCATCTCGGTCCGAGCGGTGGGCGGCGCCCTGGACAGCGGCAGAAGCACGCCGATCCCACTCGGCCGCGGGCGTCCGGGGAGCGCTGGGCGTGTGGGCGCTCGTCCTGGACGCGTGCCACGCGACCGCAGAGGCATTGGATGCTCTTGGTCCGTTGTAAGCGGCGCTTGACGCAAGTGCGCAGCTCAGTTCTGTCTCGGAGAGAGGGTGGACGAATCTAATCGGGGCGGATGATTGGGCCGGGGAAGGGCCGGAAGCACCCCCGGCTTATCCAGGCACATCACCCGGTGACGGACACTCGGTGCTGAACTCGCCGGCATCTCGTGAGCGCGCCACTGCCATGTCTATATCGATTACAGTCATGAGCGCTCTTAGATATAGGCAGTCGCGATGAGCTTGACTTCTCCATCATCTACAACCATGACCGTGTCTGTGACCACCAATGAGAGCAAGGTCGACGTCCTCATCGTCGGCGCAGGCCCAGGTGAGTTTGGGGAGCCACAACAGGGAGCAGCCGAGGTGGAGCTCGCGGCGCTGACAGCCAGCGGGGCTCATGCTCGCCACACAACTGTCCAAGCTTAAGATTGACACGCGCATCGTCGACAAGATGGCCCACCCTGTGCTACGCGGGCACGCGGACGGGTTGCAATGTCGCACAGGCGAGGTGTTTGAGGCACTCAACGTCCACAGAGAGTTCGACGCCGAGACACATGAGTGCGCTGAGGTGATCATTTGGGACCCAGACCAGAACGGCGGCATTCACGAGACATCGCGGGTTGTGGACACTGTGCCGGGAATGTCGCGTGTGCGGCACGTCAATCTTGGGCAAGACCGCGTCGAGGCAATCTTCATCGATGCGATGAAGAAGGCCAACAATCTCGAGGTCGAGCGCCTCACTTCCCCCACGTCGTTCACCGTTGACGAGACCGCGCTGGACGACAACGACGCTTTCCCTATCACAGTGACGCTCAAGAAGCTGCCCCCGCCCGCCGAGTGGGCCAACGGTGACGTGAAGTCGGGCATGTACCGCTCCAACCTTTTCACCGATGAGTCTCAAACGGCCAGCAACGCTGTTGAGGCCGACCACAGTGGCGAGGAGACTGTGCACTGCAAGTACCTCGTGGGATGCGACGGTGCCCGGTCATGGGTGCGCAAGAACCTTGGGCTTGAGCTCAAGGGCGACTCCGCCAATGTCTACTGGGGCGCTTTCGACGCAGTCGTTGACTCGGACCTGCCCACCACACGTATGAAGAACGTCATACACTCCAAAGACGCAGGTACCGTTCTCATGGTCCCCCGCGAAGACGGTATGGTTCGCGTTTACACGCAAATGGGCGAGCTCAAGCCGGGAGAGCGCGTGGACCGCGCGGCCGTGACCATCGAGAAGCTGATGGAAAAGACCCAGCAAGTGCTCAAGCCTTACCGCATCGACTTCCCCTACATTGACTGGTACACGTGCTACGAGATCGGGCAACGCGTGTGCGACACGTTCAGCCAATACAAGGACCATATCCTGATTGCGGGTGACGCGTGCCACACGCACTCGCCCAAGGCCGGGCAGGGTATGAACGTTTCGATGATGGACACATTCAACCTGGGGTGGAAGCTCGCATCGGTTCTGCGTGGCCAGGCAAAGCGCGACATTCTGCACACGTACCAGCTCGAGCGGCAAAAGACGGCGCATCAGCTTATCGAGTTTGACCGCAAGTTCTCGGCGCTGTTCACGGGCAAGGCTAAGACGGCCGAGCGCGCGGGTGTGTCGCCCGAGGAGATGCGAAAAGCGTGGGATGACTCGATCAGGTTCACCTCGGGCACGGGTGTCGTGTACGAGCCCAACATGATAGTCGGCAAGGCCAACCCATGGCTCGCGAAGAACATCACCGTCGGCAGCCACTTTGAGAACCACCAGGTCGTCGGTGCGTTCAACGCACACGCCCTCCAACTGCAGGGGCGGCTCCTGGCCGACGGGCGCTGGCGCATCGTCATCTTTCCTGGCGACATCCGAAACAAGGACAACTTCGCCGCTCTCAAGGCGCTCGGCGACGCCCTCGGCTCGAAGTCCGGGCCGGCGCCCAAGTACACGCCCAAGGGCGAGGATCTTGACAGCGTCATCCAGACGCTCACAGTTTTTGCCACACCCCACCGCGAGGTGCAGTACGCGGCTCCAACTCTCCCCTCCATCCTGCAGCCCACCAAGAAGCCACACGGCATCAAGGACTTTGACTGCTTCATGTGCGACGAGCCGTCCTATCACTCCGGTGAAGGCAAGGCGTACGCCGGCTATGGCATCGATCCCGCTGTGGGGTGTGTCGTCGTTGTCCGCCCAGACCAGCACGTCTCAGGCGTATTTGCGATGGACGAGGCCAAGGAGATATCTGACTTCTTCGATTCGTTCATGATCGCTCCCAGTCCCAAGAGCTAGCAATATAGCAGCAGTTGTATGGTAGTCGGTAGGGTGCATGCAGTTGTTCAGAAGCGCAGGTTGCAAACTCGACATATGATAGCAACCCCAGTCCCTGCTTCACAGATGAGTGTACAGGCTCTGAAGCGCGCCCGAGCTCCGCGCGCAAGAATGAAGCACGAGGGCAAGGGGTCAGCTACTAGGAGTAGTCCGCGAGCTAGGCGAGTCCAGCGGGAGTCCAACGGAGGTAGGTTATAGTCATGGTTTCGTGTACACCATGAACTAGATGGCCGGCATCTGCCTCCGACCGCTGATTGTCAGCGTTGGGTCAGCCGCTTGTCGTCGCAAGAATGAAGCATCTTCTCGCACCGCACGTCATTGCATCCTACAGTGGGGCGCGAAGGCTCGGTCGGGTCTGAAGGGCTAGTTGAAGGCCAGGCTGTGCGGTGGGGCGGGCGCGGTGTGGGGCACATTCGGAGCGAGGGAGATTCGGAGTGGAGGGCGACCGGTGCAAAGCTCGCCTGCCCTCAGCAACCGGCGAGGGTTGGCATGGTTCAATATCCCATGCCAAATGGCCACGAACCTTGCTGTAGGGTTGGCGATTCGGACTTCAGAGAAGAGGCCAGCGGTAGAGGTCAGATTAAAAATCAGCCGCGATTCCCGCAACCGCCGATCCCACAGACGTGACATTCTTTCATATTTCATCTTCTTCATTACTTTCATCTTCTACTCTTCTCCCCTCATGCTCCACCACATCGCCCCACCCTCGACGCCGCCGCCGTCACCTCTGCCGTCACCGCCGTTTCGCCGGCACGGGGTACATCTTTGACAACAATGCACTTTCCCTGCGTGACACGCTCCCACTTCTTTTGTCCTCGTCCGAGTGACCCCGACGCACAAACCCCCTTGGTGACTAACCTCCAGCCGACATCTCCCGCCCCACGTCCAAATGTGCCCTCAATCATCTGCAGGCCGTCTTTCGCGTCGACGCCGCCGCCGCCGCCAACGCGCACAAAGCGTCGCACACCCTCCAGGCGCTATGTAGCCTTCATGCCCCTCCTCCTACCTCTCCTCCCCTCACCCCCCCTCAACCCCCCACCCTTCCCCTCACGCCTGACTCCCACTCTTTCCCCACCCGCTCTCTCGCGCCTCGCACTGCTCTCTCTCTGTCTCCTCCCTCTGTCTCCGTCTTTCTTTGACCTCTCGTATCGCCCTGGTACCTCGCAACTCGCCGCCTGCCAGTTTCCCTATCTCTTCACCAGCGATCCAGAGATCAGAGAGCTCACCTCACTCCTCATCTTCGACAGATCTCACTGACTCCAACTGCTCGATACAGTCCCCCCCCCCCCCCCCCCCCCCCAACCCCCTCTTCCACCATGGCTTCCAGCTCACCCACGAAGCTAAACGGCCATGCTCCGCCCCTCCACGACATCAGGATTCACATGTGAGCGCGACTCCTTCGGGATGTCCAGCCCTATAGCCTAGAGCTCAAGCTAATGACAGTGTCGGCGCGGGGTGAGTAGTTATGGCAGCGTCGCCCTCCTGCTGGGTGGCAACGAGCGGGGCGATTCCGGCGAGCTATCCAGATTTCGCTACGAGACGCACGGCTCTTACGCGGCCAGGGTGCACGCAGTGTCAGTTGCTGACGGCAGGATGGGCGGCATGGGTTCCGCCCTCTCGCTCGCTCGCCAAGGGTTTACCAACATCACGGTGTGGGAGCAGGCGCTCTACCTCGATGAGGTGGGGGCGGGGATCAACATCCCACCCAACTGTGGGCGGATCTTGTCGCGTTGGGGAGTGATGGGCATTTGCAAGGCGGAAGGCGTCGCTATGGAGCGGGCAAATGTCATCGGTGAGCCAGGAGAGAGCTGCATGGATCTGAGACCAGATTGTGAGACCGACGAGGTGATCTCTTCGGCGGGTTACTCTCAGCACATGATCCACGACTACGGCTTCCCATTCATCGTGCGCAAGTCGCGGAGACTGCGCTGACTCCAGACGGTTCACCGTGCTGCCCTCCAGAAGTCGCTCGTCCGCGGGGCCCTTGACACCGGGCGCGTGCAGTTGATCACGGACCAGGTAATCACCGAGTACGACTTTGACAAGACCCGCTTGCGGGTGCGCGACAATGACACAGACGAGATGGAATGGGTCGACGCGGACGTCATCATTGCCGCAGACGGCATCAAGAGCAAGGCTCGAGGGGCCATGTATTCCAAGATCGGAAAGGTAGACGAGGTCGACGACTCTGGTCAGGCCGCGTACCGCATCATGGTCAAAAAGAGCGCTGTCCAGGACGACCCCGAACTGCTGAAGTTCTTCTCGAGCAAGCAATCATTCCGCTGGATTGGAGAGAACCGCCATGTGATGGTGAGCACAGAAGACTGGACGGCAAAGCTGATCCTCCAGGGCTATCCCATCAACGCTGGCGAGCTCTTCAATATCTCGACATCCCAGCCCGACGGGCACTTTGTGGCGGCCGAGTCGTGGACAGCCCTGGGTAACAAGTCTGACATGCTCGCAACGTTCTCCGACTTCCCCGACCGCGTGCAGCGACTGCTTGCTGCGGTGCCAGAACACCAGGTCCTCGAGTGGCGTCTGCGAGTGCACAAGCCGCTCCCAGTGTGGGTTACGGGCAACATTGCTTTACTGGGCGACGCTTGCCACCCTACACTTCCTCACCTAGCGCAGGGCGCGGCGCAGGCTCTGGAGGATGCCGTCGCGCTTGGTGTTGTCCTCAGCCGTATCAAGAAGAAGGAGCACATTCACGCAGCTCTGATGGTGTACCAGAAGCTGCGCAAGCCACGCACAGACTGGGCCGTGAACATGGCGGCTGCCAACTCACTCGCGCTGCACCAGGACAAGAAGACGCGCGAGGCTGCCATCAAGGCTGCGCGGGATGGTCTGGCCGGCGAGTCTGGCGAAGTTGTTGTCGACAAGCTGGCTTCCCGTGAGCTGCACGACAAGCTCTTCAAGTACGACATTGCGCTGGAAGCCGAGCAACACTTCTCGCAAATGCTCACGGAGGAGCTCATGGGCGCCGTGTCCATCTCGTAAGGGTGCTCCTTCCAGTTCCAGGGGTAGCCTGCCGTCTTAGATCCTCTACATACGCATATCTAGCATGTAATGTATCCTACTGTTCAGCGCGTTGGTGAGGATAAGACAATGGCGCCGAACAGACGCGATGATGCGAGTCACCGCACTTGCAGTCCAGCACGTGCGGAAAGAGGCGGGATTTAGCCGGTCGGTGGAGTGTCGATGACGCTACCGAATTCTGAAGTAGTGATGTCCATGACCATAGTGGCGATGCATGCACACGTATGCCTCGATCCGAGAAGGTGAAAGTATGCCGCACGGAGCAGACAGTTGGTTAGACTATGGCAATGGAGAGAGGAGGCCGCCTCTGTTCCGCGTTGCGCGTCATCTGACGTGTGAGGATCCGACGAAGGAAAGCGGCGGCGGAATCCGAACCATTGTTGTTGAGCACGGCCCACCGCACCCTCGTAGCGAGCCTGCGTCAGGCTACCTAGGCCACAGTGGTAGCTCAAAGACAAGCATGTCGCAGGACGACAAGACCCGACTGTTCTGCGAGCGGGATCTTGGTAGATGATTGTGGGTGGGCAGTGGGTATCGAGAGGAATGAGAACGAGGCATGGGGTCGCGGTTGAAGGAGAGAAAGTGTCAGCCGATCAGCCGCCAGCCACACGACTCCACTCGACCGAATTCTGTCAACATCCTACTCTCATTCTCACATCTTCCCACTCTTCCACTCCCTCGCTCTCTTACTCTCTCCCCCATCATTACATGCCACGCTCACTCCCGCGATCTCGTTCCTCCGTCTCCCCATTCTGCACTGTCGCAGGTTGCGAACAGCTCGCCTCCGGAGTCACGCACTGCGGGAGGACTCTCTGCCAGGAGCACGCCGTGCCCAAGTACCACCCATGCTTGTTGCTTCCCGTACGTTCTGTGGCCCCTTTTCGCTCCGCTATACAAGCACCCCGCTGATACCAGCCGGATAGACGCCGTGGACGGTCGTGCAAGGACAACCACCCGGTGAGTCTGAGAGACCCGCGCTGGTTATGTCTTTGCTCACTGTCGCTGACCCCAGTTCTTTGGCCTCATTGCGCAAATTGTCGATGCACCGATCGTCGCCGATGCGCTGGCGTTACGCCCAGAAGCCACATCGGCATCGCTGGAGCTCCCCACCATCCCCGAGTACATGAAGGAGTACCGCGGACACATCAAGTGGATGGGGTACCGCAACATTGCCCTCACACTTACCTTCAATGATGGTGTGCGGTGGCTTGCGCGCGTGCGTCTTAACGACATTTACACACCCGCTGTGCGCCGCAGCATCATGCTTAGCGAGTACGCCACACTCACTGCGTTGCAAGAGGCGCTCGGCAAGCTGGTCCCTCGTGTATGGCTCCCGCCCCAAGGTGTGTCCGTCCAGCGCCCCTCTGCTTTCTCTTTTCCAGTGTATCACTGCTCACTTCAGACTCCTCGAACGACTTCACTTACATGTTCATGGAGTTCGTGGAGGGCAAGTCTCTCCACGCATTCTTCGATGCGCAGGCCATTCACCAAATGGCGCCGCCCGTCAAGGCCGCCGTCGGCGATTATGCTGATATCATGATCAAGCTCGCGAAGCGATCATTTACCGGAGTCGGCTCGCTCTACCCCACACAGCCTTCCGGGTTCACTGTCGGCCCCGTGCTTTCAGACATCCGAGGGAGTGTGCCGACCATCGGGCCATTCCGCATAAGTCAGGACCTGCACCTCGCCCGTATCGACCACTACCTTAACATGGTTCAAGTGACGCCACTGCGCCCTCCCGAGCTTGCTGGCAATCCCGTGCGCATTCTTCGGTACCTTGTCGCACTGGAGCTGCGCGACCTTGTGCGGGGGTGCGCTGAGATGGCCCGCGAAGGAGCGACGTACATCAAGCACACTGATGATGCTGCACACAATATGCTCGGTGTGGACGGACGCATTAACGCAATCATCGATTGGGAAATGGCGCTTATTGTGCCTTTCGCGGATGCTTTTAGTGCACCACTTGCATTCCTCCCGCTTGACGAGACCACACTCGAGCAGAATGGCCTCACCAAGGCTGAGGAGGCGCTCGTATCTGAGCTCGAGGGGCGTGGGCGACCAGACATCGCCAACGCCGTTCGTGGCGGGCGTAAGTACCATTGCCTTCTGCGGCTGGTAGACGGCCCTGCTATCCCTGGAGCCGCAGGCGGGATCACCCTTGGCTCGATCTGGGGCACTCGACTGGCGTTCCAGGGCCTCGAAGCGGGCGAGAAGCCAGCCTCCCTCGAAGACTGGTATGCCGACGCCTTGGCGCAATACGCCAATGAGCCGGGACTCGAGGCGACGATTGATGGCCTGGTGCATTGGACGACGTTGAACGTGGATCTCACCACTGCAGCTTGCAACGAAGTCGAGGACCACATGTTGACTCTGCGCGAGCTGCTCAACTCCGCAACGACCGAGTCGCCAAACACCATTGCAATCGAACGCGAGATCCGCGGTATCATCAAAGCAGTGAAGCAGGCGAAGCGAGCGGCCAACGCAGCATCGCGCTTCGCGGCTGACTGCCGAGCGGCGGTTGGACCTGCACAGAAGGCCAGTGCCAAGGTCCACGCGTCGCATGAACATGGCTTCCGCAAGATTGTTCAGTCGTTCGGACACATGCTGCACCCTCGCAAGAAGGACAAGAAAGACCGCAACACGGAGCTTTGGCGAGTGCGCTCCAGCTCGCCCAGCCGTGTGCACAGTGCACCGGTTTCTGCACCCGGCTCGCGACGGGGGTCCGCTGACGTCACTGCGGCACTCCTGTACTCGACCAACAGCGGCAGCAGTTCGCGCCGTGGCTCTTTGGCGGATGGATTCCGCAGAGTCTCCAGTCGCACACTCGACGACATTGCACACCGCCTGGAGGCGGCTGCTGATCGTGCCGACAAAGCTGTGCGCGATGCCGAAACCATGTCAAAGAAGGGAATGGCTGTCGTTGCGGGCGCTAGAGATAAGGTTCCACAGGCGGACGGTCTTCTCACGGGCGAGTGGGATACTGGCTATTCGTCTGCTTTGTCTGACTAAGGTCGACGAGGAGAGCGAGCATTGCCTTCAGTTTTGTATATTATACAATGCATGGTTGTTAAACCCTTGACATCCTCTGATCGGCCATACCTTAGTGGCCGACGCCATGGTCAATTATGGCGGTGTCGCTCGCTGCTCGGCTCCGCCTCAATCCTGCAAACCCAAGAGTTCGCACGGACATGACCAGGTCAAATACACAGAAAAGCGAAGACAGCCTCATCTTCCCACACATCTTGTCCCTCCAATACAATGGCCGAACCTGCCAACACGACCAACGCGACCAACGGGGCCAGCACGCCTGGTGCAACGTATGTTCCTTGCCGATCAAAGCTCACACCAGCGAGGAGGCGAAGTGCGTCCCCAGCTAGCTTCCGTCATGACTTATCCTAGCTACCCCCCCACGAAGATGGCGCTTCAGTTCACCACGGAAGACCGAGAGACGCCGAGCGGCAAGGCGTGTGTGTGCAACTGCTGCGGCTTTGGATTCTCCATTGGTCGCCCGTGTGGCATCATCTTCTGCTGCATTCCTTGCATGTGTTAGTCACCAGTGGCAGCCAGCGCGCACCGTCAAGCCCGAGGGGTGGAGACGCATCATAAGCCGGGGATGCAACTTTGGTGTGTGTGGCATAGGAGTGCGTTCTGTCGGTGGCCAGAGACTGACACGGCGTTGTTTAGCTGAGATGTCGTGAGTGCGAGGTCAGAGTTGAACGCCATGCAGGCATGGTCATGTGGTCAGTTCAAGCGGAAATTACAAAAGTCACTCGCGTGGGTGAAGATGATGACGGGAACAAAAATAGAGTTCGGCCGAACCTCCACTTTGAAAAGAGTGCAATGACGCGCACCTTGCAGCGCTCCGCTCGACATCTGCTCAACATCTCCCTCTCTCTTCGCCACTCTCATCCCAACAAAGCACTGCTCCGTCGCCATCATGTCGGGCATGAAGGCCTACCTAGACCGCTCTCTCGATGTTATCAAGCGTAACACGGTCAACAGTGCGTAGTGACCGTCCTTGCGTTCCTTGCGCTTGTTCTACAACGATGTGGAGCTGACAACAGCCTTGCGGATGAATCCCACACCCAGGCCTGGTCCACTGGCAATCTTCTCCTTCCACAACCCTCCCGTGACCCCTCTAACTAGCATCGCAACGGGGTGCGACGCGGACATCGGAGGCGTATCAACTGCCGAGGTGACGATGGTGGAGGAGTCCGGGGTCGACGGATCTGCCGCTCCGTCCCACATGTCGTTCCATGGTAACCTCTCCCTCCACGTCCCACCTGAGTTTGCGGGGCGCATTCGCACAGGCTACGCTGCTTTCCGGAGCAAGACGCGGCCGACGCTGTTTGGAGACGACACTTGGAATCTGGAGTTGTACTCGCACCTGCGTGTACGTGTCGCGTACCGTGGATGGGATGGGTGGCGCAGCAAGTTTGTGTGCAACTTGCAGACGGATGGTCCTGTGCGGTGGGTGTTAGGCTGTTTCAGCTGCTGACTTCAGATCCGACCTGTTCCAGCATCGCCTGGACTTGCCGTCAACATATGCCACGAGCGATCCGCGGCCTCTACCACTGGCAACGGGTCTCCAGTTCACGACACTTCATCTTCCGCTGTCGAACTTTGTGCTCACCAATTCGGGCCTCGCAAGTGAAACGCAGGTCGAGATGATGCGGCAGAAAGTGCGGACCGTGGGCTTCGCGCTGTTGGGTGGCGGGCGACAGACGGCACCGAGCGATGCCAAGATTCGCGAGGCGCAACATGGGCACCGTGTGGCTGCGGGCGGCTGGGGCGCGCCAAGCCCCAACGAAGAGCCCGATGCCGAGATGGCCGAGTTGCTCGCGAGTGACCTTGGCGACGCTAGCTACGTCCGCAAGCCGGTTCGCGCGGCCAACAGCGCCTCTGCGGGCGGTTACCACCGCGTTGGCGAGTCGGCGGAGGCGTTCCTTGACGAAGCGGAGCGTGCTGAGGCCGGGCTTGAGGATGTCGGCGAGGCTGGGTACTATGAGCTCTGTATCCAGAGCGTTGAGGCGGTGCGACTTGACCCCGAGAGCGAGGTCGAGGACGCGGATGAGTAGCAGCATGCATTTCGCATTGAACTACTTTGACAGACAGAGATGGCTCAAATAGGCATTATCACGTGTCTCACAATCTCGTTGAGATTGCGTTAGGTCGGAGGCACCGATGGTGCACCCTTGTGGTCCAGTTGTGAGTTGTTACGGATCTTTGTGAGGACTGAGTCTCATATGATGTTGCTGCTCTGCCCAGGAGGCGGGCGTATCTCCTGCACAGCTGCTGGCGTCTCCAAGCTCGGGCTTCGCTAAATGACGGAGCGTAGCACTCCAATTCCAAGGCCCACGGGATCGATCACAACACAAGGAGGTCCTCGTATCAACATGTGGCTTCTTGCCGATCTCAACTGTTGCGGCAGCGAGTAGGGAGGACAAGCCTAGAGACTGACTCGGGCCCAATCTGCCACCTCTCGCTTGCGACGGTGTGACAGCATCCCGAAGGCCCTTCACGCTACCGATCTTAACGAGTCTGAGAACGTCTCTTGGCCGCGGGCTGAACGCTGCGGTGTGCGGATACATTGGCGAAACACTGGTATCATGGCCAATCCGCAGGACGACGTTTGCATTCGGCTTGCCAGCCTCACCCCTGTTATGGCGCGCCCCCGTGATCGTCGCTTCGTGATCCGACGACATACTTCGGCGCTCTGCCGTTCCTTGTCGCTCCGCAGGAATGTGGATCCCCACGTCCGGGCCGGTCTGGGCTCGCTTATAAGACTTCCCCTGGGCGGCCGCCAGATTGGGTTACACAGCGAAGCCTTGTGACACAAAGGAGGGCGAGATGGTGTCAATTTGATTGCCAACCTCGAATCGCGCCGCTGGGGTTCAGAGAGACGTAGCCCTGGGTAGCGAGGGTGCAGCTAGCGATTTTGTGAGAGCATCGCGTCTCATGATCGACCCGCCGGCGACGGCAGCCACTAACAAACGTACCAGGGATGGAGCGCTTGTACCTATGTGTAGAGAGTGAGTCTTATGTTATGCTCACTTCTTCCAGACCCGAATCTCCTGGACTGACTTCTTACTCAGTTCATATACGCTATTCAGCTTGTCAAATAGACACCTAATCCGCACGGGCGCAAATCCACATCCACTCCTCTCGTTTTACGCCTTAATGTCCTTGGCGTGGGCGAGCGACTGCCTGCGCTCGTGTTGGACAATGTCGTGGTCGCGGTACTTGGCCTGAATAGGCGGCGGCGGCATAGCGCGGCTGTTGCAGAAAAGGTAACGCTTGAAGAAGTACGGCAGCCACTGCTTGGTCTGGTAAGAGATGAACTGGGACGTCGGAACGCTGAACACGTCGTCGAGTTCTTCCTGCGCGTTAGCAATGTATTCTGCCACGTCGATAAGAACGCTGGTATGGGCACGTCCGATAGTACTTACCAAACTGATACCCTTGGTCTCGGGCACGAAAAGGAAGATCAGAATGAGCGCTGTAGTCGACAAGCCGGCGTAGAAGCAGAATGCGCCGAGAGGGGTCATTGCGGTCTTCATGGCTGGGAACGTGATGCCCAGGACGGACGCGAACAGCATGTTGATAAAGACAGCAAACGCCATACCTTGCTCGCGCTGGACCGTTGGGAAGACCTCTGCACCATAGAGGAAACACACGGGTCCCTCGCCCACCGAGTAGAACATGGTGAAGACGTACACGAAGGTCGCGACGACGCCGAGGCGCGCTTTGGATCCGGATCCCGGCTCAAATGGGATCAAGAACGATAGCCCGGTGCCCAGAAGAGTGACGATCATACCTGGGAATGTGGCTAGGAGCAGCGCGCGGCGGCCAAACGTGTCGATCGTGAACAGCGCCGGAAGCGCAAACACAAAGTTGAGCGCACCAAAACCGAGGGAAGCAAAGAGCGCCTGGCGGTCGGTGAAGCCACTCTCCTTGAATACAGTCGATGAGTAGAACGCAATGATGTTGATGCCGCAGAGCTGCTGCGAAAGCATGACCACGCCCGCTCCCAGCGTAGCGCGGCGGATGCGAGGAACGACAAAGCAGTCGCGAAGGCGGGAGAAATAGCCCGCACCACGGGCCTCGGAGAGCTCCTCAACGTAGAGAACATGCGAGTAGTAGAGGTCACGAGCGGCGACAATCTCCGACTTGCGGAGACGGTTGTAGGACTTGAGGGCGTCGACGTAGCGCCCCTTCTTCATGTACCAACGAGGAGACTCGGGGCACATATAGATGAAGATAGCAAGGGGGAGAGCCGGAATAAAGGCCGACCCAAGCTGGAGACGCCAAGCGATCTTGCCAGTGTTCATGACGACGCAGTTGGCCTGGAGTCAGTCACGCGCACCTGGCTCGTTGCAAGCAGTAGCCCACTTACAGCGAAGCCGAGGAAGATGCCCAAGCAAACATAAAGCTGCCAGCCCATGGTAAGGGCACCGCGGATGCGGGTGGGTGCCAGCTCGGCGGAGAAAACTGCGACGGTGGCCGCCTTGGCTCCCATACCCACGCCCATGATAAGGCGGATGATGAACAGCTGTTGCCAGTTCTTGGAGAAGCCGGATGCAATAGGAGTCGCAACGAGAATGATCGCAGTGACTAGCCATCAGCTTGCAGAGGCAGAAGGACTCACTGAAGATCTCGCCGCGACGGCCGAACAGGTGGTTAAGGGGGTCCGAGAGCCATACACCCGGAATAGCAGCAGCCAGGTACGGCGCTGCGTTGATGATGCCAACAATCCAGTCACCCCAAAGTTGGCCGCTGCCTCCGCTGGGACCCGCGCGGGGCTCAAGGCCGCGGGCCTGCACAGCGGCAGGGGGTGGGGTAAGCCCAAACTCTACGGGGAACGAGAGGTTGGCGCCGTTGGAGCCGGTCTGGTCCCAGCCCTGGACGGCAGCGCCGAGGGCGCAAACGAACATGGTGAAGACGAGTGTCCTGGTGCAGCTCCACTTGTGGTCGCGCTCGAACGCGAGATCGTCTTGCTCCTGAGGAGAAAGGCAGGAAAGCGACGAGAACCCATCAGGATCACGCGCCACGAGTGCGGCCTTGGTGAACAGGTCCTCCTTGCCAGCGAGGCCATGATCCGTCGCAAAGGCGCGACCCATGTTGGCCACCTCGTCGGGCTGGTAGCGCTGACAGGATCAGTTCTGATATATCATGTGCACAGCGAGCCACATACCTGGAGGGGATTCTCGATGACCATGTTGCCGACCATGACGGAGCCACGACGGCCGTTCACGGCACCACCGTGGCTCTTGGGCGACTCATCCCAGGTCTGCTCAAAGTGCTTCTCGTCGCCTTGCATTGCGCTTGGGTGGTGGCGGGTGGTTGAGAGATGGGGAGACGAGCGTTTCTGGGGTCCAGGCTTTATACCGGCTGTTGGCTACAAGTCGACTATGGTGCTGCTGGGCAACAACATGCTGCCTCTCCCGCTACGCACGCCAACGCACTCTCAAGCTAAAACGCGTGGGCAGACCAGCACACATCAGGGCGACAAATGCTCGGGCTTGCTGGCTACATGAGAAAGGCGGGCATTCATCCCTGTAGACCTCCGGGACGGTCGCGACCCTCGCTTGTGCTCTTGTCTAGCGAGCCCATGGGGCCAACTGCGGGGTCGCAAAGACTTGGGGGTGGAGCTCGCCCTACGAGGGGCCAAACTTGGAAGACGCTGGTACCGTTTTGCTATTCACTAGACCTAGGGATCTCTTGGCGGCATCTCAAGAGGACAGGCACTAGCCATTCACGTATTTCATCGTATTTCATGTTACTGTACATCGCCGGTGTCATGCTGATTGCAAAACACAACTGCCATCAACAGCGACGTCATGGCGATCCCCTGGGAGCCGAAAGGCCGGCGACAGAAGACGATCTGCGGCGATCTCTGGGTGGCGGTCCACGTGCCGTCCCGCATGGAGATGCCGCAGCATGTGACATGTCAGGCTCTCTGGCAGCATTAGCTCAAACGCGGAGGGCCCTGACATTCAGCGCGGGGAGAGACGATGATTGGACAGCCGGTGTTTCCATCCGTCGACTGCCGCAACACCTGCGCAAGCCCACCTGATTCCCAGATGAGTAACGAGCTCATCCGCGCTAGCCGTCCATGGCTACAGCGCCGAGGCGCCGAAGGTAGCGATCCAGTTTGTTGTGCAAATTACTTGATCATACCAAATGCGGAGGACGCCATTGGCCAGGTCCCGAAAAGTTGTGTTGGGAACGACCCGCTCGATTGCGGCAGCGATGCTCGTGCGGTCAGCATGCTGACGCAGGTCCAGAGGAGAGTGGCATTTGGCAACGGACAACCTCAGACCTCGGCATCTTCGCTACTACAGCTCAGTCATTCCCCCAGCCCCAACGTGAGTAACAGCATGACTCCACAGCCATCCTCGAGGCAGCCCCCACATGAAAAATCACGGTCACACATTTCGACTAGGCAGAGGCTTATCTCCATAGCTCAAGGACAGTCTCCAGGTCAAACGCATCTCCACGAGTTGTTCGGTATCCGTCGATGGACACGAGCTCGATCTTGGGCTCAATGGACGCGCCCAGGACGTCGGAGCGCCCCGAAATTTCCCGCAACAATTCACGCATGGCGGCGTACAACGCGCGAACACGCTTGCGAGTTTCCATCTCTCGTTCTTCAGGTCGGCCATCAGACAGGCAGTCGAGGAGGGCGACCACACCCCCGCCCAAAGTCAGGTGCGCTGTAGTGTGGGTGCGACGAGCAGATGCGGCTGTTGTCTCTATGAGCTTGTCATCCTGCAAGGACTTGACACAGCCGTCGACACCCCAGGAGCATACGAGCACTACAGCCTCAGAAGGCGGCCACAGCGGTTTCCATGGAATCCACGATTGTAAACACGAGGTGGCAGCGTGCTTGTGGCCAAGCGTGCGAGGATACACTATCGTGAGGCGGCGCACAAAAGCCTGAAGCCACCCGTTGGCTGGCGACAAGCGATCCCAGGGCTCACGCGCAAAGATGACAATGTCAACTTCCCCCGCCGCTGTCAGGTCAAGGCTGTGTAATCCCACAGCGGCGGGTCGGAACCGTACCAGGCGCAGCGGAGTGATTGCGCAGAAGGCAGCGAGCGCCTCTGTCGAGACGCGCCCGGCGAGATCAGCCACGCGCACGTGCTTGAGAAGACGGTCGAGAATGCGCTGGTCGGAGAGTGTATTGCTTTGGCCGCCCGGATGGCGGAAAATCGCAAGCGGGAGGGGCAGGGGCGCGCCATCGAAGGACTGGAGTTCGATGCCAGACGGGTATGGGGACAGCAAGATGTGGTTCAGCTGGCGGGAGAGGTGGGTGTCGACCTGCACACGAACGCCGTGCGACGTGTTCCTTAGACAGGAAAGGACGGGGAAGCTGGCTTCAGCGACGATTGCTGCAAAGATGTGCGGGTACAATGCATGGTCGAGAGTGGCCATGATTGCCGGGGGTTGATAAGTGAAGCGAGATATTCGTAGACAATAGCCAAGAGCTCGATGTTTGTGACTGAGGACTCGTATAGATAAGTGTTCTTACTCATCAAGGATCTCTCTCACGCAGGCGGCGATTGTACAAGGTAAGGTGCACCGTGCGCCTCACGCTGTGACACGCCACTTCCCTCATGGCCTTCATCACTCTCTCCGGGAGAGATGAACAGCCAGCATGGACCGGGGAATACGTCTTCATGCTTGCACTGCGCTCTCTCCGATGAGCTCAGAGCTCTGCCGCACCTTGGTTGAACAGCATGGCCGGACGAGACGCGCCTGCTTATCGTCCGCAATCCACGAAGATTATGACGCATTCCATGTATCGTAATTTGGTCCCGCCGTAACCCCTACATCGACTTCTCCCCGGTATATCCGGTGAGCCATTCAATCATTACGCGTCGGTTACGCTTCGCGACATCAACACCTTCAACAACCGTTCGCGTCCTTCACGTGCTGCTGGCGACATGGCTATCTCACCGCCGACACAAATGGGTTCAAAGGCTTGGGCGGTCCTGGTCACTCGCGAAAACTACGTTCCCGGTGAGCGTTGGCACACACTTTGAACCAGCCGCTTTGCGGCATGGCAATGACTCACCCACCTCACAGATGCACGCTAACATCAGGTCTGCTCGTACTCCACAGAACATTGTCTGCTGTCTCTGCCTACCCACTCGTCGTACTCGCTACGCCATCTCTGCCTGAACACCAACGCTCGCTGATTCGGCGTCGCGGGATGCTGGTGCATGACATCCAACCTCTAGCACCGAAGGGACATGCCGGATTCGATGCCAAGTTTGAACGCTTCGCCGATACCTGGACCAAGCTCCAAGTCTTTGGTGTGCCGGGGTACGACCGTCTGGTTCTAATTGATGCCGACACGATCTTCCTCCGCGGCATGGACGAGCTATTCGAGATGCAGCTGCCTGAGGACTGGATTGCTGCAGCCCCCGCGTGCACCTGTAATCCCTTCAAGTTTGCTCACTATCCCAAAGATTGGTGAGTGCACCGACTTGAGGGATGGATTATGCCTTTCAATTCATTCCGCTCTCCGCTTGAGCACGTCGTCTGACTACAGGATCCCCGCAAATTGCTCGTTCTCACACCAATCCACACCGACCACCCTCGACAATGTTCCTCAACCAGCCCCAGAAGCTCCTCGCGTGGCTCATCTTTTAAACTCTGGTGTTGTCGTTCTGCATCCCCGTCCCGCCCTGATGGCTGAGTTGGAGAACCACCTCCGTACCTCACCGACTGTCGCGAATGCCCAGTTTCCCGATCAGGAGGTGCTCGCAGACACATTCCGAGGACGTTGGCGTGTGCTCCCATGGTGGACGAACGCACTCAAGACTCTCCGCGCGGTTCACAAGCCCATCTGGCAGGATCGAGAGGTGCGGCTGTTGCACTACATGTACGTTGTCAATCTCAATCAGCGCTGAGCTGACTGCAGTCTCGAAAAGCCGTGGTCCAAGTTGCCGGCCACACCAATTCCAGCGTTCACCCCCGCTGCGTTGACCCCTTCTGGCAAGCCAGCTCTCCCGTCTGCTCTAGGTGAGATTGTCGCCTCGGCGGCACCTCAAGAGAGCCTCACAGACTACGACACAGTGCACGCGTGGTGGTGGGCTGCGTATGGAGACGTCCTCCACGAGCTAAAGAGCGATGAGCCCGAGCTGTGGCATGAAGTAGACAAGTGGGTGGCGCACTAGGGCTGCGCCAGTGGGATACCGTGGACGAAGGGGTCGATGCCAACCGTTCCATAAACATGTGATGGGTAGATGGGCCCTTTGAGTACATTGCACTCCGAGCGTTTACCATACACAGTGGGAAGCCCGGTCCTAATGGGAATCCGACCCGTGCAGGATATCACTTGAACCCCCCGTCTTCACATATCTACACATATCTACAGCACAGCTACACTGAAGGGTGGCCTATTCAATTTCGAAACTGATATAGATCGCGCCGCGAATGGCGGCCGCGCGACCTGGCGCTCTCTATACATACGTCATATCAAGTAAGGTCGACATCTGTCGGATGAGCCCGCGGTGGCCCCATGGCTCCGGTCCAGGCTATATACACTGGCATCCCAACGCCGGCGGCCGGCGCCTTGTCTTCAACATGGCCAGGACTCAAGGCTGACCTTGACTCGTCCACGCCCAATCAGTTCCGTGGATTTCGGTCGGAGAGACATTCCGTGACGGTGCCAAGCACGGGACTCCAGGTTCTCCGAGGTCCGACGCGGAGAATGCCTCAAGATTGCCCTGGTTCCCCGGCCCGAGTTAGGTCAAGTTCGGGTCGGAAATTGAGCGAAGCATGCCGGCGCGCATACATCTTGGCAGTCACCAGCAGATCATCGGAAATGTAGCTTGAGAGGACGAGCAGCACGGCGCACGTCTCCGGGACGGCCTGTTTGCGAGCGATAAGCACTACAGTCTTTACATTCTTTGCACTACTCATGCTCTAACGACAACGCACGCAGGCTCTCTCGCTTTCGATCTCTTCAAGATGGACGCCCTGACACCGGCCCAGGTCACTCAGCGTGAGTGATCGGAGGGCGATTATCTCTGACACCACAGATTTCATCGACCTTGGCCGCACGAAAGTCCGACAGTCGTTTCATGTGACGTTCTTCAAGGCATGGATGGCCGGGTGGATGGTGGGTTGGCTTAAGACTTCGCTCACGCCAGGTGTGCTTTGGCGCTATGCTGTACCAGGTGGTACAAGCTGGCTCACCTGGCTTCCGCGCCAGCAATCCTGCACTCGTCACATTGATAGGAGCGTTCTTCTTCCCCGCTGGCCTCATCATGATCGTCACGACGGGCCAAGATCTGCTTACGGCTCATCTGAGTACGTTCTTGTGCGTCGGGGCCGGCGCTAATCCCAGTGTACATGCCTATGTCGCTCATGCACGGCCGAATCAGGTTGTGGCAAGGCCTTCTCACATGGGTTAACGTCTTTTGCGGAAATCTTGCGGGCGCGCTTTGCTGCGTCGCCTTCATGGCCCACTTCTCAGGACTGTACACGGGACCACTGCTTGAGTACGCACAAAAGATGTCGGTCTCCAAAACGTCACAGGGGTTTGGCCCCTGTCTGCTTCGCGGTATAGGGTGCAACTTCCTCGTCTGCGTCGCCGTCTGGCTCGGGGCCAGCGCACGTGAGGTCATGTCCAAAATCATGGGCATACACTTCCCAGTGTTCCTTTTTGTGTTCCTCGGCTTCGAACATGTTGTGGTGTAAGCCTTCCTCTTGGACCCCGCTGATCTCCAGAAACATGTACTACGTCCCATTGGGGATGCTTAGTGGCGCAGAGGTCAGCATGGGGAGATACCTGGGTCAGAGTTTGGTACCCTCACTAATCGGTAACAGTGAGCGCGTTCTAGGTTTGGCCTGACATCAGTTCTCGGTGGGATTCTTCTTGGCGTGCCCATGGTGTTATTCCACGCTCCGCCAGAGCTTCGCCTCCCCTTGTTCAGGAATGGAAAAGCCCTCTCAGAGCCATATGAATCATCCTCCGTCCCTGTCAGTGAGACATCCACGCCGGCCGTCAGCCTCAAGCCAGCAGTCGATGGCAGCTAGAAACACTAGATTATAGACTGTGTATGCCGATGTTACATTTGTGTTGCCATGTATGTTTGGCGTTCTCAACCTTTCGAGGGAGTCTGGGAAGTGAGCATCTCCCCGCGTGTCCCCCTTCTCCCTTGAGCCTCCCCACCTTGCGAAGCACAGTAGGTCGGGCATGGACGATTGTACCGTCAATCGCAATGTCTTGCGCTTGTCGAGAGGAGGTCTCACGTACTTGGCCAACACGTGTAATAACTTTGAAGGCTGTTTGGGGGATGCAGCCTTGTCAACTGCTGGACAGTACTTAGGAGGGTAGGCGAAAATGCAGAATGAACGCGGACGCCCCAGCAAGGGGGCGACTCATGCTAAGCCGTCGTGTCACCCACGATTCGTAAGACAACTCTAGCCTGCTGCCCCATCTTATGCACGTAGCAACTCACGCTCCCGTTGTGGATCACTTGACGACGTTTGTAAGCAGTCAATCTTCGGGTGTATGGTCACTTTCTTTCCTTGCACGGCACTGCTCGTTTGCTATCTCTTTTCTCTTACCATTTCTGACCATTCGTTTCGTTTCCTTCGTCTGCATCCAAGGAGCGACAGTGCCCCACACTCCGTAAACAATGCCTTCTCGGGAGAGGCACCGTCGCGGAGGTCAACATCGCGCGCCCCCGTGTCGCCCCCGGCTACGCAAGGAATCCACAACTCCCTCCGGCAAACCCGTTGAAGCAGGTGCGTATCGCGCTCATACCCCTGTGAGTGCCACCCGGTGTCGTTGTTCAGGCCTGAGTGTCCCAATGTGTGTCCCCAGTGTTATTCAGTACGCGACGGTCGGACCCCAATATTGCTAGGCCCCGTCAGCCCACACGACGCAAACAGAGGAAGAGAACGATGCACAGAAGGTGTCGTGGCGCCACCTACAGCAACAGTGACATCAACCACCTGGCTAGCACATGGCCTACGAATGTCATATGCATGCGGAACCAGTTCATCACATGACTTATTATCAGTGCTTCCGCACATTACAATTCATCTGTACGGCTCATATAGTACTTTTGTTACTCAGTAACAACCAACGTATGTATCTTCCAGTCTCTTACATTCACCCGCTGATGACAACGTTGGCCACTGCCGGACTCAAGTACCTCAACCCACTGGGTGTAGTCTCTCGCCACAACAGTCAACCCCCAGACGCCATCGATACCGCCCAGCAACGCACCAACAACTGTGCTGCCGGACGCCCTCGTGCAAACACCACACTCTGACGCCTGGCGGTCCTCGCTGCGGGGCCGCGCGAGACGCGCTGAACCACATGCTGATGGGCACCCGAGGTCCACCGCCAGGTCATGGGGCGCATGAAACACTTGTATAGGGCAGAAGATGGGAGGGGGGGGGGGGGGGGGGGGGGGGGGGGGGGGGGGGGGGGGGGGGGGGAGAGGAGCTGGAGCAGAAGCTCAGAAGCAAAGCTCGTGGAACTGATGGAGACAGAGTACCAAGTGTTCTGGAGAAGGGGAAAGGCCAGGCCGCCGTGATGTGGAGGTGCAAGCGCGCAGAGCGGATGACGGAGAATGAGCTTAAAGATCAAGTGTGCAGGAAGGGCCCAATAGTGTCAGTAGCCAGAGTATCATGGGTACTTGGTCGACGCATAGACGAGTGACAACGGCGACGAGGCGCGATTCAACAGCGTGTATGTCCCTTGAATGCCCGAAACCACCGAGACATGGTGAATCACTCACCTGACATGCCATGTTCTGTGGGTAGCGCGTAGCGCGCCGCGAAAAAAATGAGGAGAGGGGAGAGGAGGAGAGCAAGGTCGAACGAGGGACTGTACCGACCGCTCTCCATCTCTCTTCCTCCCATACATCGATACCTTCCTTCACGTCTCCTGCACCCCTTCTCCCACGGCCCCCAGCCCACTGCCCTCGACTCTCCGCGCTAGTCCGAGACCGCGATGCCCGGACAGAAAACTGTTGGTAACGATCACACCAGTATGGGTATGCCGGATGCCATCATCAGCTGACATACAGAGGAACACGAGGCCTGGCGACACTTGCTCTCCGGCTGCCGGCACCCACCACCCTCACTAATCCAGTGGGACCCCAGTCCAACATACTCAGAGGACCGTGACCGACCTGAGAGCGCCAAGCCTGTGGTGGCAAGCCTGGTACGCGCGGCTGGCAAGCAGGCAGACGGCACAACTCGCCCTGTTCGTGTGCGTCCGACACTGCAGCCATCGACATGGGGCTTGGGGTACACTGCACTGCTGCAAGAGGGGGCGCGCACTGAAAACGTCGTGAGCATCACCACCAGCAATGCTCTTGACAAGCAACCTTTCGGCTTCAAGAAGGAGAAGGACCTCGAGTTCTGGCTATCTCAACAATATGGCCAGTTAATCAACAGATGCGCTTCGACATGGAACAACAGTAAAGGCCCCGCGGCAAACCCCATTCTCTGGTGTCAGCAAGAGCTAAAATACCGACACTGGAGTGGCGAGCTCCGCCAGGCCTTCCTTGATCTCAGTGTCCGCCGCAACGACAAGCCCCTCTCATTTGTTGAACTGAAGCACGGACTTCGGCTCCCGCACCGATCCTTCGACATCTTGGACAGCCTGGCACGTTGCGAATCCGCCATCTGGGTCAAGATCGATGCACAGACGGCGGTTCACGTCGCAGATGGCCTTGTGACGCCTACCAAGCCCCACGCACCTTGCGAGCCCACCGATGCTGACGAGACTGTGCAGCCCTATGCTGCCGGGTATCTCAGGGAGTGCCCTGGGAATGCTATCCACCCCCCCGCTGTCGCCATCGTGGCTCTCACGCCTCAACAGGCGTCTGCCCTAACCCTCCTCTCAAAGGGCCCGGCATACAGCTGGGTCACATCTCTGCAGCATGGCTCGATTTCAAACGGCGACCGTTTTGTGGCGACCTTCCTGGAGTGGGACAAGGTGCCCGACGTGTCGCTGCGGAGTGGCGATCACCAGGCTTGCTTTTACTTTGGGCAAAGCTCTGGGGTCAATGGAAACGGGCTGCCCATCCGCACACAGCCTCACTGGCCACCGCTTGACTCATACGATGCCTGCCCGCCGCTACACACGCCTGCGTTGCCGCGGCCGCCGCATCCTAAGTCTTCATCACGATCTCGACAACCGGCCGCTACCACGCACGACCTGCCTGCGTCGCCGCTGCCGCCGCAGCCAAAGTTTTCATCACGATCTCGACGACAAGCCGTCCATACCCATAATCTGGAGGATACGCCCATGGCAAAATTCACCAGAGGGGAGGGTGTGGCAGTGGTGGGCCGACTGTTTGAATCACTTGACGTTAGAGAGGATGCCGAGCAAGGCGCGACTTCAAGTTCAGCTTTGCACCAATCCCCGGCACATGTCCCGGCCTCTCCGCTCGGCCTACTCGCGGGCAATGCGTTCTTGAATAACACAGAACAGGGCCGCCAGTGCGGATGGCCACAGTCAACCAACAAGGTGCTGAGCACACCACGCGTCGGACCCCTTAACCCCGCCAGTCGTCTCCGGGCAGCCGAGGCCACCGCCCACACACCTACCCGCCCCTCGCGACACACCTGAGTCTCTTGAATTATGACAGTTTCTTGCTATAAGTAGATTTGTGGCCAGCAAAACAATATGCAGCGAGTAATGTAGGCAACGTCACCGCCGCTGCGTTGCCCAGCGCATCGCCGCTGTTGCGTCCAGAAGGAAGGCGATGTATGCGTCAAAAAATGGCCCTGTCACGGCTCACTCCTGGTCACCGCTGGGCAGGGGGTTGTTCGTTGTCGTCCCCATCGTCCCCTTAATTTCCTCCTCCTCTCGGCCTCTACCTCCTCGTCGCCTTTCTCCGCATCGTTCCGGGAGCCTTGGTCGGATCATTTGTGGGGTATGCTGACGCATGTCCATGTCTGATAGCATGCTCACAGTCAGGCTAAATGTACCCTATTTTCAAGGGGCGCTTCGCTCGAAATATCCAGAGCAGTGATGGGAGACGATGCATAGTATCAGTATGGGGTGGACGCTGATGATAGTGGAGATCGTGGAGACTCTCCATGGGCGGGTGGGCCAATCGGGCCAAACGGCGGACGGAAGCAAAAACACAGGACATGCCTGATGAGAGTCACGTGAGGCAAGCGGACGTCTGAGCGGAATCAAATCCACTGTCTCAGTTGATGTAAACATGGCACGCACTCCTTGCGTCCCTTCCCTCCATCATCCTGTCCTTCATACGCAAGCTGCACTGCATCGTCCACCCCATCGATATATTCCATGTCGACCTCTGCTCCCCGTACTGCGCTCGCCCCTCACGATGACTCGCCCAGCACGACACAGGCCCTCCCCAGCCCAACCGCGCCTCCCCAGGAACAGCAGCGACAGGACGGTTTCCCGCCCCAGATGCTGACTTTCCCGCGCCAGAACTGGAGCAGCGTCGTCTTCGCATGGCCAGTGTTTTACCCCGGCGAGGACGGTCTTAAGGTCAACTACGCAGCGCGTGCCTGCAGCCGTCGGTGGATGGGTGCCCTCCACGATGCCGACTTGGGCTCCCTCGGCGTCGGCGATTTTGCACTCGCCGTTTTCGACAAGACCGATGAAATGTTCGTCTTCCCGTCTCTGCAGGCCCTGCGCCCATCGATGGTACTGACGGCCCAGGAACTCGTACCTCCGCGTGATGCGAGCGCAGCTTGGCGTCACGTATCCCGATCCCGACACCTGGCTCCGCCTTCTGGAACACGTCATCCGCTACGCCCACAGCCTTGTACGTCCTGTTCTGCTTGCTGTTCATCCTGCCCTGCGGGGCGCTCGCCTTCCGCCTCGCCCTCCCCCATACCTTTCGTCCTCTCGTATCGGTAGGCATCTGTACTGAAGCGCAGTGCCACGCCGTCGTATCGGATGTCTTCCCCGACTCGCCACTGCTCCCGGCGTTTGCGAATGTGCGCACTGTTCTTCCCTTTGTTCGCAGCGCGATGGGTAGCGTGTGGCAGCTTGGCGCAGACAGCTACGACTATGCTAGCGGTCCCCGCCTCCCGCGCCGTTCGACTTACAACCACGCCTGGGTCGACCCATACATCCCCGACCCCGCGACGGTTCCACCACGGCCGTTCACCCGCGCCAACGACGACCCGAAAGCGCCGGCTGACATCATTTGGATCGACCACAAGGGCAACATCGTCCCGCAGCCCAAGGGCATCGACATTGAGATGCATGGTGAAACAGGCGCCGAGCCGCCGTCGGCCGCCAGCTCCAGTCCGTCGGCGTACGAGCCGTCGACTCCCGAGCTCTCCGGCCCGCCATCGTCCGGCTCGTCTTCATCCAACTGGTCCCCGCACAGCTTGCCCTCGTCCGGTTCGTCCTTGCCCGGCTCGCCGACCGCCCTAGCAGCAGAGCAGCCACTCAAGTCCCACTGTACCACCCAATTTCCGTCTCCTCTCCGTACCAGCCTCCGCTCGCCTTCACGCCCCGAGACCAACGACCCATAACCACAAGGCAAGATGACAGACTCGTGTTTACACTTCCAGATCACAGACAAAGAACCTACGTGCCACCAGAATGTCTGTCCAGCCACTCCGCCTGTGAACACATCTCCATGCGTGCAGCACCCCAAAGAGCACCGCCTCTGGAGGTCCAGCAGGGAGGAGAGTGCATTGTGGTGGCCGTCTTGTGTTCTGTGAGCGCGGGGAGCCGCTTGTCTAGCTCTCGACAGTCAATGTACCGGTAGATCGAGGGCCGTCTTCACGGCCACGGTCGTTTACAGTCCCTTCCTCTCGGGCACGGCGTACTTTCCGCAATATCCTGAGCAAAGTCCATGTCATCCAATGTCGTGCAGAGTTCTTCGGGTGCCTGCAATGCAAATGTACTTCAACACTCACGTCTGATCCAAGCAGAGGGTAGGCGAACTTCGTAAGGCCCGGCATCGCCCTCCCTGCAGGTGAAGTCAGCGTCCATGGCCCCCGACGTGTAGGTCTCACTCACGCATATGGGGTTATAGAGGGTGTCTGCCGCTGGGGGGGTAGTGTTCTGTTGACCTGGGATGACACAGTAGATCCAGAGGAGTCCATTGGTGGTAGTTTCGGGCCAGGGGGGTCGAAACTACCCGAGCTACGGGCCATCAAAGTTTTGCTGCCCCACTCCACACCTAAGTGTGGACAATGTGTGGACAATTCGTGGACAACACGTGGACAATTGTCCACATGCGTGGACAACAAGTGTCCACAGGGCATGCACTGGGTGAAAGTGGACACAGAGTGTAGACAGTGTGGACACTTGTGGACATGCGGTGGTGAGCACACTCCAAGTGGTGATGCTGACAGTCTGCAAGTCAAAATTGATGGTGGTGAAGCATGTTTGTGCAGTCAGTAATGGGTGGCAAGTGTGGACAGATGTGGACAATGTGGACACCTGTGGACAGTTGATGGGTTAGGGGGTTAGGGGGTTAGGGGGTTAGGGG